CTTCAGATTTTGAAAATTCTGCAAAAAACACTATTCTCGTCTACGAGTTTCCAAGGGTATAGTCTTTTCGCACCGTTACAGTATCCTACCGTAAGCTTGAGAGAAATAGAGGCAGTATACTGCAGTATACCATATATGGTTACCTACTGTAATTAGCGGCACTAAGAGCTCGTTTTCGAAATATTAAGGAATTTATCAAATTGACGGCTACTATTGGTAAGAAATTCCTAAATTTTGTCTCAAACGAATTTTTCGTATACCATATTGTCAGCTCAAAATAGGACTTCCAAAAAGTTTTTTGAAAAATGGCCTGCAAGGCTACAGTAAGCTACCGTAACCCGCTGGGAGTACAGTGATTACCGTAGTTTACTGATGTAACTTCGCAAAAAGCCGTTTTGGAACACTCACGGATCTTGTATCAATGAATGGTTTTCTTGAAGAGTCTCGACGTTTTATCTTATGCATATTTCTAGTTTTGTAAAGTCGTTGACTGAGTTTTGTAACTGATTTTTGTATATTATTTTTTATTGGTTTTTCATTGATTATTATACTATTTCTTGTTTTTGCTATTTTCGTTTATTCAACTGATACGTCTCGTGCTTAGGGTAAACCCCCATACCGTAAACCCACCGTAATCTTACAATCAAGGTCTTACCATGCACTTTCAGCTTAACTCCTCGACACCAAGTTTCAGCCAGATCTGCAGTTATCCATAACTTTCCTCTCATACCATATAGCTACCGTAACCCTCACTGATCGACACAATTTGAACGATAGCTGCATCTGTAGCTTACGTCATAGTCCACATAAAGGCAGAATTTGAGTGTGTCATGCTCGAAGAGAGAAAAGTCAAGAAAAAATTGCAAAACTTAGTTAACAACCTAATATATCGACTTGATGCTACCGTAGCTCTTGATTTTGGAGCAAACTCATGCTGTTAGTTTGTTTGCAGCAAACAAAATGTCAAAATGTCAAGCTTTTTCTTTATTGACAAAACGCCTACCCTTCCACTTTGTCAAAGTCAAACTTCCATCGGACGTCAACTTCAAGTCTGGGATTGACTTGTAATCTGAGAGACTATGCAAAAAACAGGACCGGTGCTTGGGGAGAAAGCTCGGAGAAAAATTGGTCGGGGAAGTGGGCAGAAGAGGGGGGGATGCTACAAAAAAAGATAAATCAAATAAGGAATAAAATAAATCAAGATAAAGTAAAAACCAAAAATGTATAAAAAGAAATATGCAATAGAAATTGCAACTTATTTTGTTCCCATTTTGCTCTTCACTAGACGTAAAAAAATCTTAGGGCTTACCCTAAAACCTCCACAGAGCGGAAGGGAAACCAAAAATTATTCTAATTTTCAAATTTCTGAATTTTATCTCCTCGCCCTCCCCCCCTCCCCTTCCCCTCAAATATGTTTCCAAGATCTTGCAATCGTTTATAGAAGTTAGAAAGCAATTTTATCTACTTGGTTTATTGTTTTCGTTTATTGTTTATTGTTGTATTGATAAGGGCATATGAAGATTTTCATAGAATTCGCAGAATTCGCGCAATTCGCGAGATGCGCGAGAGTCGCGGGATTTGCGGAGTTCCACCTTTTTCCTTAGAAAGGGCTGATTTGCGGCAAATTGTTATATAAATTTTACTTTGCATGTCTTTAAGATATTCTACAGGGTATTTTTGATTTAGATTATTGCATCATTTGAATAATTGCAGCGTCGGCAAATCACAAGAGAGTAGCAATAAAAGAATTTTCCTTTTGCTTTGAATTGCTAAGAAGAGGTCACGGAACTAGCGGAAATCGTCATCGTCTCATTTTCACTTTTAAAAGAAGCTGCCAATCTTGATTACACCATTATCGTCAGCTCCATTAACGTTTTTCTCACGTTCCCTTTCATTTGCCCCTAATGTGTGTCCAACTTTCACTCGTCACACTCGTACGAGTGCTTTTTTGTGCATTTTCTCGTAGTGCAGACTTTGGGACATAAGACATCACCCGAAAAGAGGAAATGCGCCGAATTTATGTGTGTCATGTGTGCAGCGCAAGAAGGAGTCAGTCAATCAACGACGACGAGGACTTCACTTTCCTGATGGGGGCTCGGGGCCCAATACGCTCATTCATCTGCGCACATTTTTCGCACTCACAGCGCTTCTCCGCCTAAGGAGGGGGGGGGTGTGGAAGAGGGTAATATCCGTTCTGCGGGTGCGGCTCTTCTCGCTCGATTATGCACGGCCAAGTGCTTCGTCGGGGGTGGGAGAGCAAAAATTCAATTAGACCAACCACACAGAACTGCTATGTGCTGCTTCACACGTTTGGAAATCCCACCGAGACAGAATAAAAATCGAAAAATCGACTGCTTTGCCTCTCGGGTTGCGAACAATCCGTCGTGCTGGCAATTTGCTGGCTGCTGCACTCATTCGAAAAGTGGAGAGCCAGTGCACGGAGCAAAAAATGGACATGCTTTGTACAAGGGCACCTTGCTACTTAGGGAATAATTTGAGGGTACTGGAAGGGGGAGCGGGGCGGAGGGGAGCGGGGGGGGGGGGGTTAAAACCTACAGGCATTATCCGAGCAAGAATAAATAACTGGACTTTTTATATGAATACTGATGCGATTTTTCTAAATGAGCCACTGCTCAAGCCGCAGCTCGTACAACTTATTTACAGCCAAGAATTTTAACCCTATTATTGCGTGATTGGCACCCCATAAATCCCAAGCACTACAGACAGAATCAACTCTAAAGTCTTGCCCAGGACCGTGTCCGCGCTGGTAGGTCCCACGAAGAAAGTACGGTACTAATTCAAAGGTTTTGGATGATTGCTTTGTACAAGGGTGCCCTACTTAGGCGAAACAATTCGAAAGAATTGAGGATTGTTAGAACTTACGAGAATTTTCAGCTGAATGTAGTACCCGGACTTTTTATATGAATACTGGCGAAAAGCCCTCAAGTAACCCATTGCCAAAATGGCAGTTCGTAAAAACGTTTATGGCAGAGATTTAATTCTAAAATACTTCCCACTACCGTCACTGATAGGTCCCGCGAAGATAACGGTATTGGGCAAAATTTAGGATCGAATTTTGCTGACACGGATGGGCCTCATAATCTTCCTCTTGGGCACTGGCTTATCTAAGATCTCCTAAACTAATTTTCACTTGAAAACCCAGAATTTAATTTTGTAATTACTGTCTTGGAAGCTCCGGGACTTCGAGGACTCAAAACCCTCAGTGACTTCTAAATTTCTTTTGTCACCAGTAAAGTCAAGCCAACTTAGCAGAGCAAGTGGCACTCATTGTGCATGAATTGCTACGCCTTGAAAGTGCACATATTTTCTAGAAAGCAGACAAATTGTCCGTTGCAAAAATATTCGCCCCATGCGAGTAGAAGTTTACCAGCATTTGAGCCTTCTAAAGAGGACAAAAATCAAATTTTGACTCAGAAACAAAAAACACAAACATCACACTGTAGTGATATGTTATGAATGAATAACTAAATAAATAAATTACTGCACAAGAATTATTATCACCTGATTATAAAGGTTTTTTATGAGATCACGCAAGCGTAATCTTGTCTTTAACCGCATTCAGTCAGATAATATTCTTACCAAAGTTCCTTTGAATTTTTGAGACAATGCAACTGTAATCTTTTTCTCCAAGTTATCTTGACAGCTTATCTATTTGAACTTATGTAGAGAGAATCTCAACTTCCAGGTGAGTAATGGGAGTGTAAGTAAAATCATCTTTCAGAAGATAAAAATGTTTTCTGAGTCAAAATTTGTAGTAAATTGAACATTTTCTTCATTGTACCAATGATTTCCACTAAAGCTTTCATTTTGTTCTCTACTGCAACATTTATCATGTGATGCATATTTTTTCTCTTTGATCAAGCTATGGTTTCCTTGATAACGTCTCCGGCTAAAAAAATTTATTATAAAATATATCGAAAGACTTATAAAATGAACGAGAGCATAGTCACGAGAAGAACTGCTTTCCAATTTTTCGCATGATTTCCGTACTACTTGCTATAAAACATTTATATGCTACTCATTGAAAACCGATTCACCAAGCTTCCATTGTCAATGTTCTTCGCTTCCAAGAAGTTAGTAGGCAACGCACATTTCTATTTTTGGATACATAAAACCGATGGAACATCAACACGACTAAGAATATTAGCACTGAACCTATACAAGTACATAAAATCAAATTAGAACATCGTAAAAGGTTCCACTTCCGGGGCGAAGTCCTTCTTTCTGAAAAGGGTTAGTAAAAGAATTATCGTATGGGAGAATTTTCAGGTGATCCATCTACTTTTCATTAGGTTGGAACGTAAGCCTTGCAACAGAAATTTTTTGAAATATCAATTAAGATTAGGCAACGGTTCTGGTCTGCATAATATTTTTTGTTGATAAGAGGTGTCTAAATTTTTATCGTCTCATAATCTTATAATATTGAACGGATCCAATGGTATTAGGAAAATTTACGGTTTCAAAAATTTGTTGAAAGACTTATGAATTAAGGTGCACTACCTAATTTATTCTTATCCGCAAGGGTCGTTCATCAAAATTCCAAATAATTAGTTTTTCGGGTAATTAGGTACTTTCCAAACAATATCATTTGCATTTATTTATTTTCACTAGTGAACCAGTAATCTCAAACGTGCTAGCAGGCGCGCTCGCTTCGGAACCACTCGTTTTCCCTATCTGATGATTTTGAATGCATCTTACGATTCTTTACATATTAGATTACCTAAAATAATTTTAAAATCTTTTATTCTAGTTACTTTTTTCAAAAAATGAAACTGAACCGGAATAATTTTTTTGCAAATTTCTGCCGAGTAGTAACCCAGCTGTACGAAGTTCTCAGCTTTCTGCAAAGCCGGATTCATCATCCCACGGCTGGTACTACTTATAAGCACCCTCCCCTCGCATTAGCGTACCCCAGAAAAACTTCCCTTAAGTCAACAAAAACAATCGATATTCGTAATAAGTGTTATTCACTTCAGATAATGCTCATCTTCCGTGCTAAGATGAATAACACCGTAATCACACCGCATATGGCAAGTAATCTAATATGCAAATCCGGAAAATAGTGCTTTGGGGGGGGGGAGGGCTCGTTTTCTGCGCTGTACTGGCAAGCAACAATGAGCTCTGGACACTTCAAATGCCGGAAATTGCGAGTCCAGTGCATGAGCTAAGGGGGTTAAGAGGCTATTGAGCGAGTAATAGTGCATCGAGGATCACAGAATAAGAAGTTTTTGAGGTTTGATGCACTATTAGGATAGATTTCCGGGGAGTTAAGAAATACTGGATGGGATAGCAACAGACGAGAGTTTTTCTCAAACTTTAAGCAACAAGTAGGATGATGAAAATTATATACACATTATGAAAATGCTCTAAGAGAAAGGGCACATATAAATCTCGTACAATATTAGAACCTAAAAAGCCGGGCATACTTCACGCGATATCAGTCGCGACGCGATTTGGCAATTTGCCAGAATTCTTCAGATCCAGTACTAGCAAACTGCACATGCATAATGTGTATAACTTACATGGATTGATGAAATGCTCTATATTCTGTGCATTTAAAATGTGCTTACAGTGATTTATAGATAGAATATTGCCAAATCGCGTCGCGACTGAAATCGCATGAAGTATGCCCGGCCCTTAAGACTGTACAGTGAAGCGAATAAGTTACTGAAGGAAATTATTGCTGAGCGCCTGATTTTATGAGAATTTTTTATCTGGTAATTTCTGCTCATAATTTCTTATAAAACCTTTATCCTCGGCTTCGCTGGGATAGAGCGAGGAAAGAGAAATTGTTTACAAGGAAAAATTCCGGACTACTTTTAAAACAATACGCTCACACATGATTGTTGTGCAAAAAAAAAGTCAGCCAAGATTACTTATCTTTGCCGTCAACTGCGCCAAATCAGTCTCAGAATTTATTTCGGTTTTCCGGAGAAGAATCTTTCAGAAGAATTGTCCTGGTAGAGAAAACGTTTTCATGCAAAATTTCTGCCATCTATTACTGCTTCTTCAATTTGCCCATTTTTCATGGAAGTAAGGTCATGCAATTTTTACTATTCTTCGAGGCTAGCAACTACCGTTTCCGGTCATTTTCCAAATAAAAAACGGCAGTATGTAAAAGGTCAAGAACCAAAAATGCCTACCTAGCCTCATGGAAAGATGATTGACTAATTCGTTGTTTCTGACAAATTCTCAACCAGCTAAAAAACATGAGAAATCATCTCAAAACGAAGATCTGACAGAATATAGAAGTTTAATTCATGTTACAATTATTCGGTTGTGATATCCAGCTCCACACACATATGTCTTCTCATATGATGAAAACTTTTAGGACTTCTTGAAGTTTATTTGCGCCTCAATTTTATAAAGGTTTTTATTAGGTTCACAATTAGAAAATTATTGTTAACCGAATTTGGCTTGGTCTATACAGATTTTTAATTTTGATTTGGTACTGTTACCAACCCGAAACCTGGAATCTTCTCTTTACGGTGTTTCAAGTCTTTTTAATGTACACTTTGATCCGCGCAAGCCATTTTCAACCTTCCCCCCCCCTTCCCTGCTTTCAATCAACTTTTCACATCTGCAGTTGAATGTTTCAGCTTTTCATTACTCAATCACTCCTCCAAACAATGCCTTCTTTCTCTCTTCGCTAAATAATAACGATGCCAACATTACCCATCAACTCCTTTATCTTCATGTAAGTCTTCCTATCTTCGCATTTACAGACATTTAACCCAAGGTAATCTCAAATTCCAGGATGATTGCCCGTACAGTACCGATCAGCACATTACCGTATCCTCGGGAAATCGTGCCGAGAGCACACGGCTCCTGCCATCAATAGTGAATCTTCATTGTGCTGTCACAGTAAAACTCGTCCAGGATGTCATCAAATTAGTGAGTTAAATGGACAAGTCATTGATTTCACATTTGCAAGAATTTTTTCATGCATTTTAGTAGCTAGAAAGTGCAGTGAACATTTTTTTCACTGTCCTTGACAATGCTTTTGTGACAAAGTACATCAAAAAAAGTCGAACAATTGGCTCGTGAGTAGGAATAGCTCTATTTTTTCTGAATGGAGCTTTCGGCTTTGTCTGATTGGGCAGGGATTTCAACGACTAAATCTGCGATGCAGCAAAGTTGTTCATTTTAGGACCGACCACATGTGGATGTGCTAGCGCTGGCTGATCTGCCATTGCTATCGTTTCTAAAGCAATCCGCTTGCGTCACAGTGCAAGTCACAAGCCCAACGGCTGACACAAGTTCGTTTCGCTTACTCCCACATTATTCATTGTTGGGAGTGGAAGTCACGGGAGGGGGGGGGGGGAGAGAAAAAAGCGGAAAGCACGCTGGCACTTTCCCAAGTAACTAATTCAGTCACGCGCGTAATATTTGCATATTTTATCGCATAGCAGTCAGATATTCTAGGCTTTACAGGGAATGTACTATTCTCAATAATGCCAAGCAATTTCTGGCGCTGTAAAGTTTCAGGAAAGAAAAGGAAAAAAACAGAAAAATGAAGAGATGTTCAATGCGAGCTTGAGAAAAACTTCACTGAAAACTGAGCTTGTTTTTTTTCACTGCTTCTGAGCAAAGTAAAAAAAAAGAAGGAAAAAACTTGTAACCGAGAACGCCAGTTTTAATAATCGCGGACTTGTGACGAGTCGGGAAAAGGGGGTGATGAGGGGACGAGGAAGTGGGTGGAAGAATTTTGATAGCTAGAACAATATCAGTGGCAATCCCAAGATTTCCGTTCAGAGGAGTCAAAAAAATTTTCGAATGGCGTGCGTGGCATTAGCCACGCTTTCCGGAAAAATCTTGAGGTGCTTCGCAAAATCTTTGCGGCCAATTTTTACATGGCTATTTCAAGTTTTCATTAAATTTGAGAAAAAAATTTGCACTTGTCATAGCTCTTGTAAATGATTTTAAAAAATTGCGGCCCATTTCCTCACCCCTCCTTTTTCGAAAGAAATCATGAGACTGTCACTAACCTATGTTTCAGATATACAAACAAGTTATTTTTCTAATTTTTGCGAAACGACCTTTTATACTAAAATATTGATTTGATATTTAATTTCGCAAGAATGTGGGAAAAGCGGCTGATAAGAGCTAGATAGATTTAGATCTTTTTGTGGTACATTGTTGCCAATAAAAATTTTCTGAGCATTCGCAACTTTGGCAAGGAATTTAGAAATAAATCAAATAAATAGCAATGAACAAGCGACAGCTTGTTTTTTCAGACTTCTCAAAAAATCTTTGTTGATTACTGATTAATAAGATTAATGCACTCTGGTAGTGATTTTAGGGAGACAATCATGATAGTGACTTTATATAGATATTCACGCAATAATGCAGAATCCACAAATCAATTTTTTATTCAGTTTCCTCGTCATGTCATCTATCGCCATTCGAGGAACATAAGCATAGTTGCTTGATACGGTTACAGATACCGTACACATGGTTTGGCGCTGTAGGACGTAATTCCACCTCTAAGCAGGTACAGTCGTCTTTTTTTGGCATAAAATGCTCATTGCACATTGTGCGCGGTATTTCACCGCTTATGCACTTATACGATTTATGCCATTTTACAGACTTTTTTATTTTCTTCTCCTTCTTCCAAGAGTAGTCAGGCATCAAATGGTGTAGGTACATGATAGTAATTTTTTTCTCTATATTTTTCCATTCAAACGTTTTTTTACCACCAAGAAACCGTGAGATTCTCGCTCGGTGTGCAATTTCAGATATTGATGCAAGCTACTCTGCTACAGTAATCCAATTTAGGTCCTGTCCATGTCACATACCGTATCGTCCACTTGTAATGTGCCGTTCTACGATCGGCCTCAAACACCGCTCAGTCTTCTGCCATTTATCGAAAATGCTCAAGCCCATACCCTTGTCAAGGATGAGGAAGTGTAAGTAAAACCCAAAAAGCCTTTAACCCTCAAGAGCTATCGTTTATCACAGTATCCATTACGAAAAGTGACAAATTGTCCCTTGTGACAGATGTCCGTGCGCCTGCGCAATAGATATGCGCAGTCGTTGCGTTTTTTCCACTTAGGAAATCCAATCTTTTCCTCTTTTGCACTTTGCTATGCTTCGTGTGTGCAAAAGCAATACATTCCAGCACAAGCCGAGCTCTTTTCAGGGATCTTTCACTGCTTTCCCGGGCGAACTTGTCTTTCGCATTGAATTCGCTTAATTCCTTATTTGTTCACCTCTCCTACAACACAACAGATACGGCGCTGGAAAAAGTGGAAATACGGTGAGAATATTTTTTGTTGTTGCTTCAGATGTATAAAATTACCAAAAATAGCCGGACAATATACAGCCACGAGTGATGAATTATCGGATTACCGCAATGCAGAAGTAGAAAACAAACAACATTAGCTGAGATTGCAAAGCATGGGAAGAAAAAATAGACCAGATTGCTGAGCAGGAGTAGCTGTGGATTCAAAAGATGGTGAAAGACATAAATACGAAAAGCAATGCTTGGATTACCAAAGGATCTAGAGTCAAGAAAATCAAAAAAACAGATGCTAATCAGCGGTGTTTGGGGGACTATCTGGAAAAAATGTGCTCGATGAATTCGTGGGCCTTAAACTGTAAAAAAAACTGCGTATGGATCCGCAATCATAACTTTGAGGCCTCAATGATTTTTCGTCGGTTTGTTGTTACTGCTAGTTGTACTTTTATTCTGGGGCTACCAAAATTCACCCCTTGCTTTTTTAGTTGGATAAACCTTTTTAATACCACGTTCATATATAAATTTCAAAATGTATTTTTTTTTCAAGTACATCATGTGCTTTTCGAACGTTCATCAAAATGTGTTTTACCATATGTGTCAAAGTAAGATTGAAGTTAGTAAAAATTATGATTCTTCCAAATTTTTGGTGCAAAACTGTGTGTGTATCAATCTAATAGTTGGATGATATTTACAAAAGTTTTCTGGCCTGTAATTTGGCATAAATACACTCGAAAAGACAATCTCCGATTTTTTTCCAAATACCGCTAGAAATTGTGATACCTGACAACATTTTGAGATTCCCGATCCCTTTACAGTGGCATTTCCTTTGTTCACCAAATGATCTGCAATTCTTTTTCGAACCGTGCAATTCTCGAAAAGTAAATAAAAACTTATATGCTCTCTAGTTCAGTGACTAAATGCCCAGTGTGATTAAACAATAGTGTAAAATTTAGACTAAATTCTTTCAGCTATCATTTTCAGGTTGTGGTTGGATGCTCGTCTCGATCTGCTCAATGTATCACCGCTGGCCAACGATGTCTGGCCATTACGGGTGGTAACAGCGGCTCGACCGCTTTTCTACACTTCATTCACTATTAAGAGACGAAACAAGGCTAATACGTAAGTCCAAGTCCTTAATCGTCAGCTTTTTTTTGCGCCTGAAAGTCACGATTCAAAGATTTTTCATAAAAGAAACATCGTTTAAACCAGGATAATGAACACTGTTTTGCACAATTTAGGGTTAATTACATCTCTTGTTTCTCAGAAGGAATTTGGCCTTCTAAACTTTGGTTGAGAATTGCGTGCCATGTCCATGAATACGTAAAGACAAAATTGCTTCCGTTATAAAAGCCGCTCATCCGATGCAGCCGCGGCATTGTAAATGGGACTGCAAGTAGGGCTGATATGAGTATGAGAAAATTTTAGTTAGTAGAGACCAGAGGATAAAAATCCATAACTCGTGCAAGATTACGCTATGGTATCTCTGCCTAAAGTAACGCTGTTCAGTAAACTTGATTTTGTGATTTGGTTAAGATGTTATAGGAAAGACAAGCAGAGCAAGTACTAAATTTCGAGCAGTTCATTGGGTTTCAATAGTAAACTCCTTTCTCAAATAAATCAAGCTGTTTTGCTTTCCGGGTACCATTCGATAGAGTGAAGCACGCTCTAAAAATGACCAAAAGATCCGATCTAAGTCGTGATCCAGGTAAAACTTGGAGATAGAATCGAAAAAATTGTATCACCTGAAAATTGGATCTTTGCAAAAAGAATTCCTACGGACTTTCAACGCATTTGTATACAATAGATGCCCTCCCCCCCCCCCCCTCCCGAGAATGGGTCGCGAAATTTTTGAAACTCACCTACATGGGTTATAAAATGTGCAAATGACTTGTTTATTTTTGTAAACAATTAAAATAATTTTTAAAATTTTTTGAAAATTCAAATCAGCCTTGTAAAAAAATTTTCAGGGACGTGGCGTCTAGGGCCCGAAAAAATTTTGAGAAGCACACTAACGCCACGCACCTTCTTTTTGAAAAAAATTTTCCTTCCCCTTCCCCCCGGACGGAATTCCTGGGACCGCCGTTGATACCTAGTAGTATTTAAGAAAGTTTCTACTGGATTTTCCATGCATAGCAAAAAGCCTTAGTAGGTATAACTTTTTATGTAGATCTGTGTGTGCCCTGGTAACCGAAAATTACCAATTTTAAAATGAAAAACGCGAAAAAAAGGACATTTTGGCATTTTCGGTCCAATTTAATCCTTAATTTCGCGACCGAAAAAATCCACTGAAGGCTTTTGGGTACTACTACTGTCTACTACTATATAATGACCAAGCTGGAGGCCTGTAGGAATTTAATGGAAAGAGATCCGATTTTTGGGGTAGTTGGAAAAATTTGATTTTCTGGGTCCAAATTTTTATTTGAATCACGACTTAGGCACATCTTTGGAGGATAGTTTGTAGACATAAGGTATACCTTGAGCAGAAATTCTTCGTAAATGGTGCTTTATTGTGAGAAACAGAGCTGAACCGCAAATGTCACTGAACACTACCTTGAATAAAAAAAATTATGTGATCTATGTCGACCACTAACGGAATTTTCCCAGATTAGAGTTTTGGCAGCACTAAATGGGACTCCTCGAATAAGCATATTTATCCATGAAGCAAAAGTGTGTGTCCAAGCAAGAGTCAAAGTCACTTTATGTGAACAACGTCGCACCTCCTGAGAGGTGCGACGTGTTATGAAAACAACTGTTATGAAAACATGAAGCTTATTGTTAGAAAAAGGGTTTCCTGGTTATGAGAACTTCGCTGCAGGCAGCCTTTCTCATGGTGTTCATATCCTCTCTTGTCTGATGGCCCTGTTATTGAGCTATAAATGAAAAATTTCTTTCCTATAGCAAAGCATTTCAGCTGGGATGGCTACGTATTTGCACTTCTTCTACGAATGCGTGGCTCAATCGCCGAGAATAAGAGGTTGATGAAGAATGAAGAAGGAGATGAGGTGTGCTTTGAATACTTGCTACAAAATGGATGTATCATAAGCGATTCCAAATACCAATCTTGAAACCAGTTATAGTTGGATTTTGATGAATTTTTATTTCTTTAGGCAGTTTTGCATTGGGAAATACGTCGCACTTCTACTAATGGCAGTCAGGTAAATTGTGTTCACATTTTATGACTTCATCGTCAGATTTTGTCTTCAGGAGTTGATCCATAAAGTTGCCACCAAGTTCAGGGTTGTGCCGGATTCTGTCTATGCACTTGTACCGGTTGCTAAGGTAAGATGTTCTCGAAAACTCCCATAAAGTATTTGCGAGTCAATTAGCTACTCCTATTGATTTACTTGATGAAAGCTCGAAAAATTGGGCTTGCTGTTTGGGACTACTTTTGTCAAAGTTTGAGAATTTGTTTTTGTGACACAAAAACAAGAAAGCAATTGTGTCGTTGCCCAAAGGCGCAATTTCCATCACCCATGGGGTTAGCTTTTTCGAATGAAGACGTCCTGCTTGAAAAGTGGCTTCTTTTTGAGGTGTGACAGCCGACGGATAATACAAGAAAATATGACTGGTACCACAGCGGCTGTTAGAAATAAGTATGCCATAAAAACATAAACAAAAGCAGAAGCCAATATCGCGACGTTTCGAAGTGAAATACAAGGTTAAAGGACTTGAAGGGGATTTGGATCAGAAAGCTGAGTAAATTAAGATACAACATGAAGATGGTATTTTTCAATTAATTAATTTGGTTTTTTCCATAAAGGACCTGCCAAAGCGGAAAAGTCTTAGGAATTCGCCAAAGCACCCCACTCTGATTGGCCGAAACGTTGCTATGATTCGTCAAATCAAGAACGGGGCTGAACAAGGGCAAAAACAGGGCGTCTTAGTTTTCTATTCGAGTAACTCGTCCACTTTTCGTAGGCAAACATTGCGCATGAACGGCTACCCTTAGATAGCTTTAATCTGAACAAGGTTCAAAATCTGCACGCCTTAAAATACTACCTAATTAGAACTGAAAGTTTATATGCAGCGTTGAATTTTGCATTCCCTTACTTCATCACGTAGAACCTTTTCTAAGGGAACGAAGTGCCCTAATTTTACGAGTTCGAAACGTACCTATTTTTTCTCTTCCAGCCTGAACACACAAATAATTTTCGCGACCAGAGAACCCTCTACCGTGCTACCACCTAAAAGAATCATGTGGAAGCGCGATCATTCTGCGAGGGCAAAGTGGTGCGAGCTGTCTTAAAAAGTGAAAAAGGTGTACTTGTGAAATTAGGATAGTTTTTTTAACCCACGGCGGTCCGCTCCATTTATTTAATGGAGAAAACAGTCTAAGTGAGAGCGTTTCCGCACTTTTTTTGAATCCAATAAATCCTAGTTTGTTTCCTCCACGTGTTCCATAATGATTTAGATCATCTAGTTTGGAACTAGAAAAAAAAATTGACTAATCCTAAAAAGTCGAATCACATTCTTGCATTATGTCCATAGAGGTTTCGGCGCGCTGATCAGGAGCCATATTCTTATATTCAGGTTAACGGTGTGTATAAGATAGGCCTTTCAAGAACCCATATCTCCACAATTCTTTATCTAGAGGGATTATTCAGCATGTTGTTTACGATCATGTTGTGGATTATGCTTCAATTTTCGCGTGGTTGAAGTAGGCGACATACCGAGTACCCGAACAACTTGCAAAAAGCTTTCTTTCGAGCGTTTCGGGTATCTTAATCGTAGTCAACATATTGAAGATACTCCCTGTCTAGACAAAGTTTGAAGCAGCTTGGGAATCTGACTTATTTGATTACTTGTAAACTAGAACTGTGGGACTACCGTGGAGAATCATCAAAATATCTGCTAACAGAATGGCCAGCCAGACAGAGGGCAACATTTCAACAAAAATAAGCCATTTTTGGAATTTTCGATGCGATATTTCTAACAATACTGAAGTACTATCGATACGGCTTTTAACAAGCGTAGAAGAAATTCAAATTTTCCAGAACACGGACCTTATCAACACGGCAGTGCTCTCCGGACAACAAAGTGCCACTGCTATGCGAGTGTTCACGGCTTCTCTTGGTGGCATTGTCAGAGACGTTACAGCTCGTTCACATTGCATTTCAGCTGAATCGCGAGTGCTGAAAACAAGCCCCACTTGCACATCGGTCAGTCCCTTCTTAATCCGATAGAGGTACATCCTTTTCAAGCCTCCAACTGCAGGTGTACGTTGACGGCTCGGAATTGCGTGGAATGCAAAATATGAAGATTCATGTGCACTTTGAAAAATGGACAACCTATATCGCCTATACGGTTTGGTATCCACGGTTACCCATCACGGTATGTTAAATTCGCCATAGGGCATTTAAGGTAGTAAAAAAGAAAGAGGAAAACAGTTGAACTGCAAAATGTTAGCAATTATTCGCGTTCCTCATTTTGAAGTCTGATGTTTTTCTGTTAACCAGCTGTAGGACAATCAAAATGCAAAGTATTTCAAACATGTATTTTGTCAAAATGAAAAATAACCGTTGAGATTTAACAGGAAATCACAAAAAACCTTCTCTGAAATGGAAAATTGGTGCTAAAAAACTGGAGCAAACTGCAATCGCATTCTTCTTTTCTCATTTCCGTTCATTTCCTGGGTCTATACTGCTATGGTCAGATGCTTGAAAATGTGTCAAGTACATTTTGCGAAGAAAAAAAAAACTCCCTGAGGGCCAATTTCTTCTTCCAGTTTGCAATTTTTGATCAAAGAGGCAGACTAGATACAAACTGGATTGATTTACTCCCACTTTTTCATTTGCAGCTAATTCAAAATGATTCAAGTTTTTTTTGTCACAAATATTTCATCCAGTCTCTTCCAAAAACCACGTCACTACATTCTCAATGACTAAAATCGGAATAAATTCCCAAATTAGCATTGATTTCTGGGGAAACGCGGAAGGAACAGAGAATTCTGCATATCTCTCTAACATCTCTCGAATTTGCAAAGTTATGGCTCTGTCTCGGTTTCAAATCCTCACACACTACTCGGTACAGGTCTGTGTTTTGTCATCACTGCCATCACATGTTTTCGATGGGATTCGATCTCTTGGCGCATTGCGCGCCAGCCCAAAGCGCTAACCATTCGACCATGGTGCACTTCAGAATTCGTCACTTTGTTTCAGTTATGGCTGCGTGACTCGGTATTGAATTCAATCTCTGGATGGCCAATCACTGTATGGAAAAGCTTAGAATACGAAAGGCACACTAAAGGAGCCGCTAGACAATTTGCATGTGGAAATCGATATCAGCAAACTGAGGTGGACGAAAACTTTTTGTGAGGTAAATTTTTGAAAAAAGAGAAAAAAAATTTTTTAGCTACGAGTGTACGCTTCTTTCCAAGTAAGTGATGAACGAACTGGTGAACGCATGTATCTGAGTGGAAACCGTGATGTCATGTTTGATGTCACTTCGTTGTCGGCTGATAGGTAAGCAAAAAAACTTGAAGAGTACTTTTTGCATAAAAGAAACATGGAAAAATAAGTGTCGGACTTCGTTGTATTGTGAGTATCATATCGAATGACTATGTCGCATTACTTACTGTACCCGTTTATTAGAAGGCATGTTCATCTTTACAAAAAAAGAGTTTTATTGATCCTGTTTAAAACTTCAAATGCCAACTGATGCCTTCGCGGCGACAGTAACTCATGTTCCAAGTTTTTTGGAGGACTTCTTACTACTTTGAGCCTCGCGGTTCCGATTAAAAAAATTTATTTAAGAGTGGGCGCGACTGGCACGTCGTTCGGGATAATCTGGAATGCTTCTCATAAGCCTCAAATTTAGGATACCTGAAACAGTAACATATGCTAATCTCATATGAGCCCATTAAACCACAAAAAATGTTGAAGACGAGATACAAAATCATACAAAAATCGAGTTTATGCATTGTGTATGCAATGTTCGGATTTCAGCCTCCATTATGGATACATAATACTTTCTAGATCTTTTCGATAGTAACATCTATATATTCCACTAACAAGGATTATTTCTAGGAAATTTCTTCAACTGTATACCTTACATACTTCATTTCCAGTATTGTGAGCAGTGATCGAGCAATTGTGACCGTACGAAACTTCAACAACAGGGTTCTTGTGCAGGCTGTGCAGCCAGGAGAAGCAAGGTGATTTTTTGGGCATGTTGCTTAGGAGCTATTCCAAGCACAAACTCGAATTTTTTCAGAAAAATTGCAGCTTACAGCACTAGGCTCGATTCATATGAAAACCTTTTTCAGGATAGTCGTCAAGGCCCAAGCACCGAACATTGATTTCGGAAGCGTATCAATTATAGTGTCTTCCGAAGAAGTAACGGTTACAAGGATGACTGCTCTTCCAGTAGTCGAAATGAGTGTGAACATCGAGCCAACTGCTGGAAAAAGGGCCCAATATGACGTCATCACAGCGCTGGAGAGCACTTTTCAGCATCGATATCAGGTTAGTATGCCTATCGATTGAATAATTGCAGTCGCGCCGCAACGATGGACGCAATTCTCTCTCTGCTTTAAAAAAATGGCTCAGTGTAAATTTTATTTTCAGCATGGTAGCTTTTTCTACCAATTATTGTACTCTGACGACAATATGGAGTTTCTGGATGATGTTGCTGTTACGGATTTCAATCTCTCATCCCAAAGCTCCGATGAACGAGTTCTAGCACTGGCTCACAAGATTCAAAATAACGTAGACATAATTGGTCAGTCACAAATCTTTTGCTCTGAGTAAACGTCGATTCGTTGACCGCACAAACTGCTCAGACCCTGCGGACTACGCGCGGCACGGCTGAATTGTCGCGAGAGCACGACTTCTGCAATGGCAGATTTGTATTGGGGCAAGCGTTCTACTCGCGGCGCGTGCTCAGCAGTGGTGTCCAGCCCGCGCGGTCAACGAATCAACTATAGCATTTTGCAGCAAATACTTATATTTTAGCACTGGATGATCTATCAGATCCATACATCTTGTTGGAACTACGTCCACCTTCACACTGCACCGATCCAGACGCCGTTCCACTGGCCATTCTGCAAGTGCCAATGAAAGTTCAATTTGACGCAGTGGATTCGAGTCGCTTGGCTATTGCGAGATTGCCAATTAACAGTGAGTTTCACAACTTCCTTCTAAGTAACTGCGCAAAAATAATTACATAACAATGAGGGCAGAGTTTCCCCTAAGGAAATGAAGGAAGAAAATAAAGCAGAACTTCTTTTTCTAAAGAAGCACGTTATGAGATTCGCATCCTAAATAAATAATTGATAACGAACTGCCAGCGGCGGCTTCCAGGAACTTCCGTTGGAGTGGAAGGGGGAGGGTAGGGCAATAGAAACCTTTATTCGAAAAAAAAAATACACCAGGAAATTTTTTGGGATGACTCCCAAAATTTTTGAGGGCCCATAATCCCGAGATTACAGGGCTAATTTGCCCTTCTAGAAACTCAGAATAATTCCAATTATTCGAAAGTATGAACAAGTCGCACATTTTCATAACTCATGTAAAAGTACACTAAGCCAGCCATTCGTCCTCGCGGCCCATGAATAGCCAGTAGATCAGTTGTAGATCAGAAAATAGTAGATCAGAAATGAAACGTCTTTCATAGTTGATGCGCTCAAGTTAACCCAGGTGGTACAGCTTCACATCCTTGCAGAGAGAGTGTGTAATGAATAGACACTCAGATCTGGGAGAGAGAAATAGAAAGGTGGGGAGGGGGGGGGGGAGACATGTGCAAGATTTTTTTTTGAATTGTCCCCTACATGAAAGGAAGATGACTACATCGTTTTATTAAAATAAACAGTGTTCAACGTTGTGCTTTATACGATCTTTTTTCAATTCTGATAAACGGTAATACCGCGCACTGAGCCGCACCGCCTCAGGGGACGGAGCTTACGCGTTGTCTGCGTCTGTGATAAAGTTTTAGATTTTTAAGCATTTTTATTGCAGCAACAACTTCCTCGCCACCACCAGATACAGATTCGATTTGGCGAATGGATACAATTCTAGCCGCTATACTTTTCCTAATCTTGCTCGCCGGTGCAGTGCGATTCTTCTCGAAAAGAGCCACCACCTTCAGCGGGTAAACTTCGTCGTCAACCTTCACTGCCATAATAAATAATTTTAAGGTACGAAAAGCTCGTCGCTCCCATACTCTCTCGGCTTTCTTCCTCTTCGAGTGGAGGTGGTTGCGATCAAGATTCGAAAGAATGGGTCTGGCTAGGAAAGACAAGAACTGATACTAATAGCATCGGTTGGTTTGATGAAGTAACGCTACTCGATTCGAGATATTAGAATTTTGTGGCTTTTTGTTATAACATTTAGCGAATTTGAGAAATGGCTTTTGTTGTCAAACTGAATTGTCGAGATCGTGTCGTGGCGTCAGTCTCAGCTTCGGCTTTTATACAGGTTCGCGCTATTCTCAGAAGTCCACCGTCCACGTTGCCGAGCAGTCATCGCCATCGTACGACGAGAACACTCAGACGAGCATCTCTTATCGCGGGTCCGAGATCAGCGTGTTCATCTCACCCACTCCAGTAGTGACGGTAAGTTCCATAAATATTTTTTGTGACAGATACCAAAGGAACCTGCTCAGGTGCACGCGGATTACGAGCCCCCATGCGGGGGCAGCTGGAGAGCGACTGGAAAAAGCCGGACGCGAGCCGCACGGCACGCCCTCGTCGACTCGTCGTCCGATCACAATCTAGCCAGAATCGTGGCCAGAAGCGGTACTGACTATATGATATACAAAGTCAAAGTGCGTTGAGTCATATTTCAAGCACCACAGAAGAAGAATGCTGCGAATATAAATCCGCAATTTTTCGCAACATTCTGACTCGAAAAGCACCCCAGTGAATTTAGTATGATGTAGATTAGAACTGATGTAGTTTGAATGATAAGTGTTCATTATTCTGTATAGTATAGTGCCCTTGCGGTGAAAACAACATTTGCGCGAAAATGCCATTCTTTGCTGCCGATGCCATCTCGCACTTGACAGTAAAAGATCATCATAGAGAGCGCATTCTCTATGGTACGCATATGTCATACTTGATCCACTTCTGTTGGCCAAAACAGTATGACCAATAGCGAAGTGGATGAAGTAATTAACAGACCACGTAAACATCTGCCTCGCTATTGGCCAGTTCACGATTTGATCAATAGCGAAGTGGATAAGTGGGTCAAGTATGGCGCGTGGCCTAGCGAACGGCCATAGGTTGCCGGCAACGGTTGTTGAGGTTGTCGAGGTTGTCGGGGTTGTCGGCGTTGCCGAGGTCAGAAACAGCTTCGAGAGCGCGCAAACGTGGCTATCATGAGGTCCTACAACGATCGGCAGCCTCGACAACCTTAGGGATCGTTCAGACCGCGCACAAAGGCGCACGAAGGCGCACAAAGGCGCACTTTTCAACCCGATCGATAATGAGGACAAACATTTGTGCGCCTTCGTTCGCCTTTGTGCGGCTTCGTCCGCGTTTGTGCGCCTTCGTGCGCCTTTGTGCGCGGTCTAACGATCCCTTAGCAACGCACAACCTCGGCAACCTCGACAACCGTTGCCGGCAACTTACGTTCCCTTAGGCCTAAGGCATACCTCGCGCGATTCCGGTCGCTGCGCGATTTGGCACAACAGCGAATCTTCGTAATTCGTCGTCTGACTTTGGTCAGAACTTGCTCTGTTTGCAACAGCTTACACAAGCTACCCAAATATGCGTCCGAGAAGTGCGCACGATATTTGTAGAAATCTGGCAAATCGCCAAGTCGCGTGAAAGTGGCGATTCGGCCGAATCGCGTGAGGTATGCCTTAGGCCTTAGGCGCAAATGTTATCGGCAACGCAGGAGCACTATATTACTCGCCAAGTAACTGGAGCACACTTTGATTTGCTTGTTCTGCACACTAAGAATTTAAATGCCTTACACTCTTACCTTGCTCGTTTAGGCTCATGGAGAGGCGAAACTGTATGGCCGAATAATACATGGAGTGCAAAGAAACGTACAACAGTCTATGAGGGCATGAGGGAAAGTGTGGCTTGAGACAAATGCCTATGCAAATACAATACGCTTTGCTGCAATAGGTTTTCGCCCCAAACTACTGCTTTCTGTACCTCAGCCCCAACAAAAAAAAGTTGCCATTATTCGATATTATTTGTCTCAAGAGTCACATGATCTCAATCACATGTAAATTATACGGGTGCATATGATTAATAAATGCTTATGTTGTGTTTGAACGCTTTGAGCAAATTTGAAAATGTATATTAACGCATATTTCATATTCGATTATTAATTGCAATGTTCTCAAATTGCAACATTTTAAGGCAATCAGTGACTAACAATAAGCACCACAGAATGATATAAGGCACAAACTCAAAAAAATTTTAAAAAACAAAACATGACTAGAAACTGTATACAAGTAAGTTCTATAGTTATTTCGTTAAACACAAAAATCTAGAAAATCACGAGGTCCGGATCGGCTATGGTGTGCTAATTGATCTAATCCTCCAGATGTTACATCAGAAGTTTTGAATTGTCATCATCATCCATCTGGCACTCAAAAATCGCCAAGATGCTGGATGTTCATGAACAAAAGTTGCTAGCAATAGCGATACGAATAGCCTTATCCACTTCATCCACTTAGCTATTGGTCACATCTGATCAATAAGTGGACGAAGTGAATCAAGTGGATCAAGTATGGCGCGTGCCTTGGTTCAATCCTTTGATCTAAAGATTGGAGGCTGGAAGGCGGGCAGTGACCTAATTAAGGCTAGAGGATGATCAGAGAGCACTTTCACGAGAGAGGCACAGACTGCGTCGCGGGCGCGAACGGTCGCCTTCCAGCCGCCACTCTCGTTCAATCAAAGGGTATCTTTTGCATGGTGGAGGCGAGAAAGCACGGTATATTTTGAGTTCTATAAGTTTTCCGTCAAATAACTATGACAGCTGACGAACAATAGCAATGGTACATACCACTGAATGCAATCAATTCTCTTCCTCTACCACTTCGAATAAATCTTTTTGCCATTCCTCGCAGTAGGTCCTAGAAAGAAGATAGTGGAAACGACGGCAGACATTTATTAATGATGTTTCGTATTCAAAAAATCCAAAGTATCACCTTGCATTCTTCAAAATGGCAACTTCCGCTCTCTTTAATCGCTCTATGTTCTTTTCATTCAAAGTCTTTCCTTCAGAAATGGTCCCGTAAGATCGTTCCAATATAGCAAAGCGGTTTTTCAAGAAATTCACGGCCTTTCCCAGAGTCGCCGGTTCAGATATAGCCTAGACACCTAACTCATTCAAGCACAAGAAGGTTACCAAAAAAGGTTACCTCCGGTCTATCTGCAACATATATCCTAGCGAAATGCTCCATAGAGGGATGAAGTGGCTGGGAACCACATCCAATGTCATAAATATAAACATTGGATTTTTCACTGAATCCCATCTCCATGAACAATTTCTGCTTTTCTTTGAAGTTTTTGTCGGCGTGTCCAAGACCTGCAAATATTGCTGGTTGCTAGCACAGACATTTTTCCATTTTAAAAAGCAGCATTCAGTAAATATGGACTAAGCATCATTTTAAAGGGGCCCTAACAGTCACACATTTTACATATTTTGATCTGAAATTTTGCCAAAAAAATGCACACATAATTCAAAGGAGTGGTGCGTTAGGCGACAATCCTCAAATTTTGTACCTTTCAAAACTTTGGTTGCTAAAGTGACACGGCGCCAAGGTAGGGGGGGGGGGGTAGGGGTGGGGGCAGATACATGATTCGATGCGACAAGTAAAATTCTGTAAAAGTTAGCAAGAGCGATTTTACACTGCTTGCATTATGCGCGCATTGTCGCCTTCCGCGTGCCCCCCCCCCCCCATTCTTCACGGGTAGGGGAACGAAGGTCACCAGTTTGGGCCGTCTCTGCGGACTACTGGTCCTGAAACGACATGCGACAACATTGCAAAAGGACCAGTTGGCCGCGAACCGCGACTAACTGGCGGTCTATGTTCCCCTACCCTTATTCATGCCAGATACAAACAGCGAACTCCGCTATGGCAAAGGAAGCTCATGTGCTCGAATTTCAATTCTTCTCTCAAAGCAAAAAGACTCACTGATTTTCAATTTGTAGGAGTCATATGGGTTTTCTCCGATAGGCACGAAACCATTGTGGAGCAGGTGATCTGCTGCTGTACGACGCCCATAGAACATGCTTACCCATTCCCCGGGTGATATGTCCTTTGTGGCCAGCACCTAAGTAGGGTAGTTATGGTAGAATATAGAGCTACATAAGATGATAAAAAGCCAACTTCTGCACAATCGTCTTCAGTAGAGTAAGATACAGCATCGCCAAGATCTTCATATCCTGTGACTAACTCGTGGTTAGCCATGTCAAGTACTGGGATCAGAGCTGGTACCTGGGAGAAGTTCATATGCAGACCAAGTTGTAAAACACGATTTCTTTGTGAGACTGTAGTGAAGTCCGCTCACCATTGCCACACTTCCATCTTTGGCATTTTCTATTTGACTAGGTATAAGATTGATCCTTGTCGTTACTGTTCCGACCGCCCATCTATACAAAGAAAATGTAAAATTATCCACGGTGAAAGGTGAATAGTAAAGGAGTGGCGGTTGTGTACCAGCTTTTTCTCTCTGTAAAAAAATGAGAATGATAAATTCGACTCACGATGTGGAAAAAAACGAGTAAGTTGATGATCAGAAACGTTAGAACATACCCGACTCTGCTTATCATACACCTCATTCCGTCCTATCATGAGGAGGTAATAAGCAAATTGTCGTGCTACTGTACGGTAAAACAAGAGAGCCTCTTCAAAGACGGGTGAAGGCTTCAGATACTGCAAAAAGCGACAAATCGGATAATTCTTGATATCTATCACTGTCAGTAAAATAGCTGCTCACAAATTTCTTACTGAGATTCCAAACAGATAAACAAACAAACAACCATCGTACCAAGCAGATTAATAAAGAAATTCGAAAAAGCAGGAAGCGTTTGATTGACTCAGAAGAGGAGAAGTAATCGATGAACACTTACCTTCAGCTCCTCTTCTGTGTAAAACAATGGAGTTGTATATGCGCTCGGCAACACATTCAAATAAGGCGTCCATTTGGAATCGGGCTTCACACGTTGAGCACAGATAAACAGCGCCAAACCAACGTTCGCCATATTTTGAACGATGACATCACGCTCAAACAGCTTCCTAAATCAAAATCTGGATGTCTAAATAAAAAGAGCAGAAATCGAAAAAGGTTCAGGCAGTGTTATGCCAGTCTCCATCATTTTTGTAGGTTCGAAATAGAACTAATGAACAAAAACTTATTTCCAAAATTTAGTGTCAACTATGGGGTCCTAAAACTTAAGACATGGATTTCGCTTTAACTTCGGCTACAAGCGTTATGGGACACGCTAACCACATATCACACTTCCGCTCGATAATGTCTATCTAACAAGGGAAGGATACCAACATTAGTCGGCGATTGTAGATGAGATGTATATCATTAGACGCGCCTTTGAATGCTGATTCCAAATCTGCTTTCCTTTTTTGCGGAACAAGTTTCCAAAAGAAGTTGTGGGCGTTCAAAAGTCCAAATTTGTAAAGATTTAGGTGGCCTAAAATTGGCGGAAAGCTGTGCAAAAGCAACAGAAAGTGGAAAATCATTTTTATATCAAGTATATTGTTTGCAAGGAAGGAACAAAGGCGGTGAAATTCGCATAGGTGTTGTTTTAGAGCTTTGCGCTGATTATAAGCCACTCAATGCGTGGCAAATCTGAACATTCAAAAGCTCGTAACTTCTTTCGGAAACATATTCCGCAAAAAAGGAAAGCAGATTTGGAATCAGCGTTTGAAGGCGCATCTAATGATATACATCTCATCTTCAATTGCCAACTAATGTTGGTATCCTTCCCTTGTAAGTAGGTGTAAGCACAGAGTCTACAGATTCGCCCGAAATTGCTTACAGTGGCTGTTTGGTACTACGAACATGAATATCGCAAGAAAGTTGCACAGTAATAAGGTTTTTCTCGGGCTGTGGTGCGAATATGGTAGATATTTCAAGAATTCCAGATCTGCACGACTTTTTGGCTAGAATTCTGAGCGTGCTGATTACGAATATCACACTCTTTTTACCCTAATTTCACGCATACGTGCAGGAAATTTTTTTCCCAAAATCGACCAGCCCAAACACTTCGAAGGACTTCGCAATCAAAGAAGCCTATACCGGGATGTCTATTGCTTGAGAGAATTGTGCGGCATAAGATTTGCTTTCCGAAACACGGTGAAGCAACTGAGCGGCTCGTTCGAAAAATCGAAAAACACAAAAAACACGTGAGCCTTCGTCTAAGATAAGGGTAGTTTTGGGACCTCTCTGCAGAATTACGGTAAGTACACGGGAAGCTGTGAAAGCTTTAGATCTGCCTGAAACTTTGGGGGAAGGCGTGCTGATCACTGATATCGTGCTCATTCTCCATAAGGTCATTTTATTAATTCTCGAAATCTAAATTGGGCTTAAAAATAGAAAGGATGTTCTGCCTATGTTCTATAACACACTGCAATACACTGCAAATTACTACAACTCCAAAATAAGGCCTTATTGCAGCGGGCATGTATAATAAATACATTGTGAGCTCAAAAACCCTCCAGGCAAAATCTTGAGAAAATTCACCTCAAGTCGTCTACCATACACCGCCGCAAGAAAATGGAGCCTTACAAAATTAATATGATAATCATGTTCAAAGTAGCAATTAACCCTAGACGAAGTTAAAAAAAATTCAGTGATTTTGAACCCCATACCGTATATTTCCCGTAATGCATGAAAAGGCCCATTTGGAGACTTTCTGTACCCAAAGAATGTATCGCTTTTGTTCCTGTGCTTCATTCTAGATGACCATTGGACAAATAAAGCACAACTTTTTCCCAGTGCCTTTTTATGACCCAAAGAAGTGCAATGCCTCCTGTCCCCATAATCATGAAAAAGTGCCACTGTGTAAATAGTTGGAGAAACACTGACCCGAATGCTTGTCAAGCCCCACTTTCGACTGAGCTTCTCTTTCTCCCTTTTGACTTCCCTCGAATGAAGTGATTGATAACTCTCTATGCAGTCCTTTGTCACAATAAACAAAGTCATACCCCTTCTCCGGCCCATGAGAGAATTAATTGAAAAATTTATCTTTTGTTAGATTTATGGTTCTAAAATAGATGAGCACAAGAAAACAGAAAGGCATCAGGAGATAAACCCGAGATTTGACACAAAAACGTCCAAACAAACTGTACAAGTTATACATTTGAAAATTGCATCAAGTTGTCAACTTACTTTAGAACTGACGATTTCTTAGCCAGATCTGTTGATATCATAGCATGACGAGGCACGGTAACACACCGTTGTTTCTTGTGAATAGCTCTATGAAAAGTTAAGTTGCGGTCCGCAAAAGAATTCCAAGAGTACCACTCACTTCTCAGCAAGCAATCCTAGACCATCCACATCGCCGCAGTTTGCAATGGTGACACCGTACCGTTTTATGCCAACTTGATCAGCCCAAGCCAGAAAGACATTGAGGTCGCTAGCTGATCTGAAGAAGGCAAGTTATAAAAATATCTTTGACGAAGAACTAATACCTCGTTTTAGCTAATCGAACGTCAGTATCGCTTAGTTGAGCTTGTTTCGCGGAGATACCCTCAAGCGCTTTCCTGATGTGTTGATGTTCCTTCCATAACTCCATAAGATTTGGAGTTGGAGGGTTTGAGAGTATATTTTCGAATAATTCAGCAACTTCATGTAGGAAAGCACCTCTCAATTCATGCTTTTCTGCTGCTGAAGAACCCATAATTTCTGAAAATGCATTGAGATACAGTGAGGAAGAATCAACAAAACTTCAAAGCATGGGAGAGTCGCATAACAAGGGAGATCAGGTTTAACAATAAATGAGACTGCCCATCAGTCTCATTTATTGTTATCCGCCGTCGTATACAGGTATAGGGACTCACATGGAAATAAGAAATGAAAATAAAATAGAAAGTAAACATAAAGTCAGGGAGTCACAGTCTATAGGTCACGAGCAGAATGATGTACATAACCATTACGCAAAGTTGAGGAAATGCGGGACGCACAAGCTAGAATGAACTAAAAACTCAACTAAAGTTAATCTAAAAAATGAAAATTTAAAGGAAGCAGATAAGGTTGGCGATGGAGCGAGATAGTCGACGCGATTGAAAATGAGGGCAAAAAAAGCGGTGGACCGGAGCGATACCCGCCCATGATAAAAATGGAACTTGTGTAAAGTTACATGAATATTTGCTCCCGATCTCAGGTCGTATGGTGGCTGTGTCTGGAGACGGACTGTTTTGGGAGAAATTTACTTCACATAAGAAGTACTTTTCACTTGATTCTTCCGCAAACAATAAACTCATACCGTCTAGAGTTGGTATCATAAGCTTGTGTCTATGTGGTAAACAAAAAATTTGATTCTAGCTTCTCTTTCCAAGCGCGCACTTTTCGCAAGACACGATGGAGCACATCTATCGGGGTGTATGTCAAGAGGCGCGACTTTTATTGCCAGATGGACACCAATCTGCGCATTTTTATTATTCTTTGATGTTCCAGGAGCAATACAAAATGCTAACAAGATAAGTATGATCGTCTCATGGTCTGCTCAATCTTATTATTCTGAAATAGATTCGAAACATAAGGTTGGAGATCAAAAACCCGGAAAGTAACCAATGGCTTTTCCGAAGATATTTTAATCAGCTTTTTACAAAGTGCCGTCTTAGCAAGTAGTAGCTTCAAATATTGAGTTGAGAGACTCTCTCGGCTGTAAATTGGGCTGTCAAAGTCGTGCCTCTACAAAAATCGCGCCTCTTGACCGTCTCCCCATCTATCGTATGATGATTTGTCCCTAAAGCTTGTGTTCGAGTGAATGGTGCTTATTTCTGATGCAGAGAAGAGACTGGAGAACCTGTGGTATTTAACGAGGTGACGGCTTGTAATTAACGTCCGGAGGGTATGCAACGACTTTTGAACTTCTGGCATTGAACGTTTTGAACAAGAGAATTTTTCTGGAGCTCCGCCCGGAACCTCGCAGCAACGACATCCCTCCGCTTTTTGTCCCAAAAACGAAGGAGTCTGAATCCAGTCGATCTGTGCCGGGCCTTTATCGTGCTCTTGCAACGTTTTAGCCTCGCGTCGTTGTTTGGTTGGGTTCACACAGATCCCTAAGTTTCGGAACAATATGAGTCCAACTTTAGCCACCGCGGGCACTGCCAGTCCGTGCTCAGTGAGTAGATAGATTATAGATTATACAACAGATTATACATATAATTTCCGCATGATGGTCATCGGTGCACAATCCCGATGACTATGAAGCAGAAGTCACCGGAAAAACAATAATGGCTGGGACTTGAAAAACCTGGGACTTGAATCTCTTGTTTGCAGAAGAGCTAAACCTGACCTCTTGTTTCGCTTCAGAGTTCTGAAACGTGAAGTCATGTTGAATCCCAGCGATTACTGGATCTTTATGCCTGCTTGCGATAAACACGGTGGTTTCAACTTGCATTACTCAAAAGTTGAGTAGAAACATACCAACCTGCCATTCAATCATATTTTTTTGCGGGGAGCTAGATGGTTACGGTGCATACATCGCGAAGTTTTGAGTGCTGACAACTGTGTAGCGTTCAAAAGGAAACTGAGGAAAGTTGACATTTGCAACTTACTGAACAATCCTTTGTGACTTATTTCTGTCTGTTTTCATTACAGGTCTGCTTTCGTCTGGTATTTCTTGCTGACCCCCGCTTGTCGACTCATGTGTTTCGGACTTTGCTTTCCCCTCTTCGCTTTTACAACAGCGGCTTTCGTGAAGCCCTTTCCTGCTACGTCGATTCATGACTTCAGTTTTTTTTTCGATTTACCGTGTTTGTATTTTTTCTCGGTTCATCGTGTTTACTAACCATGCTTTGCTAGCTTGTCACCCACTTTCGGATGATCAACAGCACTGCTCCTTGGGACCGTAGACAGCTGCGTATCATGCTTGGCTTCCCCAGAATAAGGCAGGTGTATCCAAGCGTCGGTGGTTCCAGGTTGGTAAATACCTGGCAGGAACCAATCGCAACGTTTTGGACAGCTCGGAAAAGGGCAGTGGCATTCCCCAATGCCAATCACTTGTCCCCCTTGACCAAACAGAAATTTCTTTCTTCCTCAACACCTGAAGCCCCTAGTCGCTGTTTGTTTGTTCTTACTGAAGGTGACAGGCTAGTCTATCTCACTTTAACAGTTGTTTCCTTTACTCACACAGGCTTTGGCACACGTTTGCGTGTTTACATAAAGATAAAGGGGATTCACATTCATACTTCTTCAGGGAAACCCTTTTCACTCGAAGCGGTCATACAAGGTCAGATGAACAGCATTTTCTGCAGTGCTTCTGTATTAGATGGTGTGTTGACATGACCAAACTTGTTTTCCTATAAGGCGTTCCGCAGAGATGAGATGATAGTCCGGTAGCTAGCGGCGAATGTTGATCTCAGAAAATCTTCATTTGCGAAACACTTCAATGAAAAACAAGTTTGGTCATGTCAAGCACAAAATCGACTTTTTGTCCGGGCACTGCCTTTGAGTTTCCCACTTTAGGCAGAAAATGGATTGGCGGGCTTCCGCCTCGCAGCGGTTCGTGCCGTTTCGCAGCTACAGAGCACCGTATCGTGCTAAGAACCCATGTTTGCGTCTCTCTTCATTCTCATTCTTCAATATGAGTCAAAACTGTCAGACTACACTGCTCTCATTTCCAAATTTACCGTCATAGAAGGCAACCCAGCCTCGGAAGACCAGCTCGCTTTTACTAGGTAGGTTTCAGACCACGACCGAACCCACCTGTGGGCCGGCTTGTACCCGCCGCAACCCCCCTCCCCCAACCGCCAAAGAATGAGGGAAAGAAAAGAATTGCCTGATTGGCGTCAATCCAAAACACTTTAGATTTTGACCACAAAATTGAGGTGGAAAGATGCTGATTAAACTACTGCACGTAATTTGTCAAGTTTGCTTTGCTCTATTCTATGATAACATCAAACCTGATGAGAAATGTATGATATTGCGAAAAAAATTGAAATTGAAACTTATGTAACAACCTACAAACCCTTGGGACTTCCACATAACTGTAGTTGATTGAATTCATAATATCATACATCAGGGCTTCACCTCTGCTTCACAGATGCTCGCACTGGTCATCCAAAAATGTTAGGTATAGGCCTCGTAAAACCGCTCGCGCGTGCCTTGAACACCAGCACAGGCGAACGATCGTCATGAGGCACTATACGCGGTCTCATTTACTCATGAGTTTTGGATCAACATTCATGTTGTTTTCAGCGTTGCACATCATGTTTTAGCCAAAAGTGTCTTTGAAAGTTCGTAAAAATACGTTTAAATGAGATGCACGTTCATTATCGCTTTTGAATAGCCTATACCGCGACGGGACCCTTGGCTCCAGAGCGCGGCGCGGGCAGTTGGATTTTACAAGGCCTATATATTTAGAAAACAGAGACGGCATTCCTCATAACATGCTTCTAATTTTTTTCGCACGCTTAATTGCCGATTGAAGCTCCGCCTTTCCCACGCTCGTGGTGGGAAAAAGGATAAGAGAGCGTATTCGCGAATGCAGAGTCCAGGAGACGCGGTCTCGTGGAAGCGGAGATGCTGGTGCACCCGACTCTGCAGTTGATAAATCCTGTAAGGTAGGCGCCAGACTAAGGTATGTGCCAGAGTAAGCGAATATTTTGTTCAGGTTGGGGTCCCGCGCAGAATGACGTTTCTCACCATGATGGCGCTAATCCAAGTGACGTCAATTCTGCGAGGGACCCCAACCTGAACAAAATATTCGCTTACTCTGGCACCTACCTAAGCGGCTATTTTGTTCAGGCTGCAAAAGACCAGGGTCCTGCGCAGATTTAACGATAATTCTGCGCGCCTTTTGCAGCTGAACAAAATACTCCCTTGTCTGGCGTCTACCTAAGTCATTCCTCACTGGTTTCGTGGCAGACAGACTGAGATGAATAAGCGCGTAATCATATAACATTGATAAAGATTAAAATCCTAAGCAAGCTGGCATTCTTGCCTTTCAGAAGAGGCAATATTCTCGATAAGGCTGTTGTGGTCACCGCCACAGCCGTGGGGTTTTTCGCTTCAAACCCAAATGGGAGGTAACACATTCTCAATTATCTTTCATAGTAGTCGACTACTACTCATATAACCGATTTATGAGTGCAATACAACCAGAACAAAAGAAAACTTTGTACATGCGACTGAGAAGCGAGGTAAGCTAGTGGCTACACAAGCAAAAGACTGCTTCCATGTATAGGGAAATCTAACACGCATAAAACTGTCCTAACTAGAGATCTATTTTGCAGGAAAAACGTCAGACATCCTATCTTGCAAACGTTTGGCACTGAATTTGTGTTTTATCAAGACCGTATCATTGCAAACCAATACAGGTACGTCATTCTTGTATTTCTAAAACGTACATATATAAATGAGAAAGAAGTATCTATTCAAAAACACGGCAAACCTCAAAAACTTCCTTTGGAGAAGAATTGATTTTCCTCTCTTCGTAAGTCCACCCAGGCTTTTCTCGATTAAGATAGGCATCCATTCTTCTTTTAAAATAGGAACACATACTGCAGTTTTCATTAGTGTAAAAGGTGAATACTTTCTGATTCTCAGCAGAATAGCACTTGACAGATGACTGGAGCAAACGACTCAAAGGAAAAGTGAGCATTTGACTCCTTTTAAGGCACTGCATATTGAATCTTCTAAATCGGCTAGCTGATTGTACAGATGTATACACTGACGATACCTACAAAAGCGCGGAAGAAAACCAAGTGCAAAAGTCTCGTGAGAAGCGGGCAAAACTTGTGTGTGGTCAGACGACATGTTTGCAAAGCCCAGTCGCGGAGCCCAGGCGAGCCGCGCAGGACCGAGCCGCTCAAGTCGACTCACTTCAAATGATACAGAGAGTGAAGGCAAGAATGCAGACATGTGGAGACATTTCTGTGATATCACGGCATTATTATTTTCGTGATTCAATGACGCCTTTTTATTTCCTTGAATACTCAACGCCTTTTTATTTCCTTGAATACTCAACCACTCTCGTACTTGTGAGCATAACGATAGTTTAGACCCTGTTTCACAACGTATTCCTCAGAGTTGGATACACGGCAGCTATGGTCACATTCCCACTAACACAGCCATTTACTTCTCCCTATTCAAGTAGTACACTTTAGCTCGATAGGAGTTCTCCAACGTTTCACGAATTTACAATACGTAAATGACACACAGGGGAAAATCAAAACATCCTGGCTTGAAGTACTATGAGAACAGCTGCTCGTAAAAACGTATTTTGGGGACGTTTCACCAACTCAAACACAGAACAAGCTATACGGCAGAGGCTACAGTTTTGTAGCAGATATAACAACAGTCGCAAAAAACTTGTCATTGTATTAATGGTGCAAAAATAATGTCCTTACTAGGCATACTTTCCGAACAGATTTTGTTCATCATACTTTTTTTGACATAGGTTTTGTATATCACTAAGCTTTCTCTATGACTTTCCACCAGTGGTGCAGTTAGGCTTCTGTCCTGATCTGTAGAAATTTCACCAGCGTTTTCGCACCCGCACGAATCGTAATTTTATTTTCTCCACTTTCTCGGCCGAAACTCAAACGCGATTAAGCAAACTCTTGAGAACATAATGTATGAGGTGATTATTGTTAACCTATTGCAATCTTAAGTAACTTTTTCGAAAATATCTGGACTTTAAATGACGCTTCGAGATAGGTACTCGCTGCTGACATTATATAGGTTAAAAATTTCTTATGATTGAGGCAATCGCCAAAGCACCGCTCATCTGTAAGAAATGAAATGAGGACCTCCTTACAATTTTTGTCAGTGCATAAAGAATTCCAAAACGTAATTTGGAACATCAGGCCTGCTACAAACAGGCTAAAAAAAGGTAGACGATTTTGATTATCTTTACTTTCTGCAGAAGTCCTTCGCTGAAGTCTTTTCTAACGAGATTTTTCAAAGATCTTCGGTATTTTGGAGCTTGATTTGCTTCCTTTGCAATATGGTAAGAGCAGGTGGCGCTAGGTAACGAAAAATTACCGCTTCTGATGGTTTTGACTATATTCAAAGATATGAAAAGTGGACAAAGCTTTTTAGAGTGAAACTCTGCAAAACGGACATTATTTCTGCACTAACCTATTTATGCATAGTCCACGTGTCAATAGGACATTCACAAATTTTGAAGCCGACGAACGGTCCTGCGCGTCGCATCCACAGTTCTCGCAACTACAATTTTTCTGCCTCCTCGAAGCGCTGTATTGTAGCTCTATATTTCTTTTCGATATTCAAGGTGATTAGGCTAAATACTAATACTTTCACAAATACTAATACTAACCAATACTTATCAATAGATCAACAAGATTAGGTCAAGTTCAGAGATGTTTCACCCGTCTATAGCACAAATATTTAGCAAGGGTTATTTTTCGACAACTGTATTGATTCGTTTGAGGTCATAATCCCAGCAAATGATTTTGACACTATTGTTAGCTATAAAAACTTGAATCACGCTTCGAAAAAATATCGTTGGGACTTCTATCTTGGTCAGTATAGATGCTCGAGGCTCCGACTTCGGAGTGCGATAACACCTAAATTGGACCTTAGATGGGTCTAGAAGAGGAAAGATCAAGAAGCCTGAAAATCGGGAGCATGATGGCACTCTAGACTTGCCTATCATTCCCAACTAGACAATACACCTAAAAGAGTCAGAACACTGGGCTCACTTCTTGGTATGGATTGGTTGTAAACAGTAATTTGGTTTCGAGTCGTAAGTCTATTCCAACATCGGATAGTTGTTTTCATTTTTGCTCGTGTTCTACGGGCCTATGAAGTTCAGTGTAGCTCAGGAGGTTGGCACCAGGGTGGGGTTTCGTATTGACGGCAAGACAAAGGGGGGAGGGTCATAATCAACAACCGCAATCGTCCAAAAAATTGAGGAAATACTATCGAGTAAAGTGAAGAAAAAAAGCGCTAGACTGGTGAATATCACAACTCCACCAAGACTGAGGAACTGTTGTGAAAAGATCTGATTAACTCCACTATCTCAGCCAATTTGCAATACTTCATCGCTTTTTTATACTCACAACAAAGTAGTACTCTCTATCAATCTACAACAATAAGACTTCTCACCGCTCCAAAAGAGGGTTAAGAAATTTTGCTAAAATTTCAACCACCGCGTTTTTCACCTTGCTCCAATCCCATGGATCACCACAAAGCCGAAACAAGTCGAGGTAAGTTCAAACACTATTGTAAAATTTCCTAGGTTTGTGCTAGCGAATCACATAAAACCTGGCAAACTTCTTCGGGATAAAGTCAAGGGGGGGTCAGGCACAACCCTTCAAAATATCAAGCTGCCTGAGCTTTTGTAGCCTTGCGCCTGACCCCTCTTGACTTGTCTTCAAAATTCAGAAATCGGTCCAATCCTGGCATGGATATTGAGTCCATAGCCTTTTCTGGCTACAGTAAGAGTTTGGAATCATACACCCCACCCCGCGGTAAATTATGGCTCTTTTAAAACAATTCAGATCAAAATCCGCCGTCAAATTACGGTACAGTCATAAAAACGAGTGCACGAACTCCAAAAATTCAAAAACTCTTTGGACAGGATGATGCCCTCCAAACGCCACACTTTTTCTGGAGTTAGAGAGGAAGAAGAAGTCGTTTGGAGACCTTCAGGAAAGGAGGGGGCTGTTTTTGAAAGACTCGTGCTCTTGCTCTTGCTCAACTCTGTTTGGAACATATGAAGCTCAAAGTAGGAGGAGGACGGAAAAGGCAACTGGTCAAAAAAATTGAGAAATTTGTAACAAAACTCTTGGGAACAATGCGTAACCAAGTAAAGTTGGGAAGAGGAACAATTCTGGAATTTTCGGGTTCTCAGCCGCTGGCATTTCAAAAGTGAATAAGAGTCACACTCAATGGCAAGAATCATATAACCATCGCGAAGTCACCTTCAACTCAATGGAATCACGTCAAGCACGAGCATGAAATTTACGGAAGAATTGATTGCTGGTGTGCAGTTGCGGACATGTCGTGAAAAAAGAACAAGATGGGCATATTGGAACGGACAATGGGAAGAGAAGCCTGGAGCACACATTATTGATTGAGGAACCAGCGAAAATGTTTCATTTTGTGAAGTTACTGAGAAATTGGAGTCAATCAACGAACAAAGCGCTGGCAGCACTTCGGCGCCAGCGCGGTTGATTCTCGGAGAGGCGCCAGTCCCGAAACTACGTGGGTGGCCCCCGGCGTCCAGGGAATCGCTCGAACACAACGCACGGATCGCTGCAGATCGATTCGATCGTGTGTGGGCGAGAAAGCGCCGCGATGGGAGCTGACCATCGATGACGTCATCGGGCGCGGCTGGTGAGTGTGCGGGGCGTCGAATAGTCAGTCAACAAGCGCACATTCAGCTGCGTACCAAAAGTAGTAAATTCGCATTTTCGCGTTGTTGCCGCGAATCGAGCGGGTGTACGGTGCGGCGTTCTGTCCATAGCATGTATCCTTCTTGACAATGATATTGACAGTCCGAAACTTTGTCATTTCTGTCCAAAACATATATTAGTACTCGGCTGAGCATTTATCGATTTTTGCTGCTGTGAGTGCATGTTTTCAATGTTTAGGTGAGCTCGCCCTCCTCTGGCACGAGGTCTGCTAATCCTGCTGTGGAATGGCGCTTGATCTCGGAGGAAACAAGAAGAAACACGATGATAAAAGCAAATATTCCATAGTTGAACTTTCGCTATTCAAGCCTGGCAAGAAGAAATACTCAGAATTTGATTATGAAGAGATAAGGAAGAAGCAGTTGGTACGTTGAGAATATCGAACATCATTTCGCCGTCTTATTGATTGATTTTTCAGAGAGAGGATGATTCAAGCGGCGAAGACGAACGCTTTCATGACAGGGAGGCTCTGGAAATAGTCAAACGATTAGAAGCTAAATATGTGAGGATTTGTGGTTTTATTACGTTTGATCAGGGCTGACACTTCAGCTTTACTCAGTTTCCGATCGATATCGTGAGTAGGTAACGCGCTCGCACCATATCCGCAATGTAAAAGCGGCGCTGTAATGCTAAACAAAGCGATGCGCGCTCGATTCTTTGCCAAATAGGACACTTTGCTAAATCTAAATCTTTTTCACGAAAGGAACATCAAGAAATTTATCAATTTTCAGGGAGGAAAGAAAGACAAAAAGGGTCGTAAATTGCGGTTTGGAAATGAGGACGACTACATGGACAAGAGGGCCGGCTACGATTTGGACGACGATTTTATCGACGATTCGGAGGCTGTGAATAATATTCTCTCTTAATTTTTGCCATGTTCGCACTTCCGTCCGAATCGGCACGTCGATTTACGCTCTTATCGTGACATCTAGTCGTTATCTTTTCCAGTACGATGAACTCATTCCGTCAACGATGGACACTGTGCAAGGCGGATTTTACGTGAACAGAGGGAAATTAGAGTTCAAGACAAGGCATGAAGAAGTTAATGATTCGGACATCTCAGACGCTGAGGAAGCACCTCAGCAAAGGAAGGGCACCGTAAGTAAATGTGTAATTCAATTTAAAATTAGTGGTCAGAATGCAAAGATAAAGAGCACATATCTATTTGAAATGCACCAGTCCGTACGCATGTCCATGATCAGACATGTTCAGCTCGACCTGTTGCCTTTTTTTCGAGTACCAAGTTCATTTTCCTTGCTTTATTAATTTTTCAGTTTTTCGTTTCTTTGAGTTAGCAGGTTTATGAGCCTATCTTATACATATCATCTCTGCGCGTGCAAGCGATGTTGTTTAGAGCCTGCAAAGTGCGAAGTCATAAAATCTCAGTGTTCGTGAGAAGTTTGGTATTGGTGACTCAGCCTCATTTTTTTCCTTTCATATCTTCGACTCAACTCCATTTCGTCTAACTCTAACACACTTACGATATAGACTGCTGAATAGGCAAGTATCTTCAGAAACGAGTGGTGGTATCAAGTGAAGATGAAACAGATGTTGTCGAGGAAGTTGCTCCGGTTGTGCCCACAGCTAGTACTAGCGGTGTGAAGACTACATCCGATGCGCCTGCTCCAGTCCCTATCGCTCCGAAACCTCGTATGGTTGGTGCACCTCCAACGAAAGTTAGGGTAAGTTTTCTTCAAAAATACTTGTCGTTTTTTGCAAAACGGCGAATTCAGCGGATCGCTTTGGGAGAGTCCGCTAACCAGCGAGCTGCTAATGCTATCAAGAAGCGTTTGGTGGGTATGCCTCCAACTCTGTTGAAACGGAAAGTTCTACAGACTGCGTGAGTTAGCATACAGCTTCGGTTGTGAACGATGGCTAGGTATCACTTCAGTGTCACTCGTAAAGAGAATGAGATGTCTGACTTCCTTCGAACTATGGCCGGTGGAGAGGTACCCGTGGACGATGATATCGTGGAAGTAGTTGCGTCGACATCTGCCCAGCCAGTAACGTCGACAAAGGTATGTCGTGTGTTTTGTAATCACAACTAAGGAGAAAAGGTGTCTCATATCTCTATACTTTCTAACTCCTCGTCCCAGATTATCAATGATACCGTGATCCCGACGTTTTTGCACAATTTCTGTTACACTGAAAGTTTATGAAAAGGTTGTTTGGCTGCTAGTGAATGTCAGGTTGTTCAGCACATACGACCGCGCTGTTATGAGATTGCGGAAAGGTCAAAACCAAATAACAGATGTGCCATGTATCTTGCAAAATAGCACAAATATCGTAGCAGCTCTGCTGAAAGAGCTTTTCGCGGGATCACAGTGGGCCAGTAAGACTGAATTAAAATTCATAATCCAATACCTATGCAAGTGTTCTCCCCCTTCCCCTTTTCTGATGCGTATGAGTCAATAAAATGCTTCCAAGGATCTGCATGGATGAGTGCCGGTGACCTCTCTCACCTTTACCACATGTATTTGAAAACTACAGTCATCAAGCTGATGTACACGTCCATATCTCTGCACACAGTTTCAGAATAAGAAAAATCTTTGCTGGTTCATAAGTGCTCCACTGTGGCATCCCTGGATCTATATGCATAACGTCTTTGACGCTTCGCTTTAATTTGGGGAGGATGTAAGGAAGTATTAGGTTGTTGCAAAAATAATGTCCGTTTTGCAAATTTTCACTTTGGAAGGCTATAACTTCGTTCAGTCTCCATATTTTTGAATGCAGTCAAGACCATCAGAAACATCAAACCCTTCTTAACTTAGCGCGCCCTTGCTCATACTGATATCGCAAACGGGAAGAAAACCATGCGTCAGAGAACTAAAAGTTTTTCTCTTGAAAACCTCGTCTTCAAGAGCTTACAACTCCCTTCAAGCTTTGTCCCTATGTCTGCTAATTAGCTTATTTTGTAGCCGCAGGCCAATAGTATAGGTGTGTGTAAAAAAAACTCCAACGAAGGAGTTCTGCGAAAAGAAAAGATAAAAATTCAAAAATGTTCACTCTTTTGAGCCTATTTGTTGTAGGCTTGTAAGTGCCTAATTATGAAAATTTGGATTTCTTCGCGCACTGAATAGCTAAGTTTCTCTTCAAATAATGTAGTTAAGGTGTGCCAATTTCAAGCTTACAGAAATGGGCGAAGCTTTGGCGATTGCCTTGATTGTGAGAAATTTCTGACCCATAGAATGCCAGCAGCGAGTGTCTATATTGACGCGTCAATTTCTCAGCCCACATTTTTCCAAAAATCTACATAAGCACGCAGTAGGTAGACAATGTTCACTAAATACATTTGCTATGTTTTCAGTAGAATTCGTTTATTTGCTCCTGAATTGTGATGAGGAAAGTGGAAGCTATGAGATTCTGATTTTGAGTGCGAATGTGGAAAATGCTGGTGAAATTCTCACAAGTGAAGATAGCAGCTTAATTTCACCGCCATGAGAAAGTACATGAAGAGAGCTTTCCAATGATATGCAGATGCTATATCGAGAAAGAAAGTCTGATGGAAAAAAGTTGTTTGGAATATAGGTCTAGAAAAACGGACATTATTTTTGCAACAACCTAATAAAATCAGATAGGAATTATTGTGAGAACTAGATAAAAAAATGAAATTGTTTCCAAGTTAACAACCTGCCATGTAAACGGCAGATGAGATATATAGATAGATAACTTCTTCTTGAACGCACACGGCATGTCATCTGCAAGCTCTCGTTTAGCGTCCTTTGCTACTTGTTACATCGTTAAAAACTTGACCCATTCGAGATCCTAGTATAGAGTGCGACCAAATAGGGAGTGAGGACATTTCGAAAAAAGAAGAATGAGTAGGTGCTACGGTAATGCTCAGCGAATAGTTGTCCGACTCAATCTAGTTGCCGGAGCAGCAGCAGCGACTTATGGTAGGTGGAACACACTTTAAGGTTTGATTAGAGTCCAAGATGTGATGACCACTATAAGAATCTCCAATACTTTTCGTCTTTCACGCGACTTCTTCAAAGTATCTCACATCGCATCTCTGCTTTCATGCAGGAATCACCGCGGCATACGCTTTGACAGCGCTTGTTTAAGTCGATCCTCAATAACTCTGCGGAAGCGCGTGCGACTCCAAAAATTTTGTGCTTTTAGTGTCAAAGTATCGATTGCAGCCATTACTCACTGAAATGTTGGCAAGGGGACCTAATTATGCCTCCTTTCTGTTTGCTATCACATGTGCTATCTTGATAACTCATCAGACACTGAGTAGATGACGTTTTTTCAGCAAGATTGATAAAAAGATTATACAGTCGAGAGGGGTCGGCATGAGCTGGTACCAGAGAAATTTCAAAACGAAGGTCCTGATCTAAAAATTTCGTACGAAGTCCCCTGATCTTAAAAGTTTGTATGAAGTCATCTTTGACCCTAAACTACACGTAAAGAACCCTCAAAAAACGAAAGATCGACTAGAAAAACAAAACAGAAAAAACGTCGCAGTTTTTGTTCCTTTTTGGACACAAAAACGATATAACCTTTGCTTTTTATCCCAAAAACGATGACCCGGTGCCAGCTGTGCCGAGTCCTGAGTCGAGTAAATTTTCTGCTTATTGTGCTTACTGCAGGTGGAATGCGGTAAAATTAGCGCGTGAAGAAATATCGTCCCTTGTACATTTGCTGCTATCCTTGTGGCGTCGCGGACGTGCCACGTGTGACTAACACGTTGGCAATGTTGGCAGCAACACGGCAGCATGCAGCAACATGTTGGCGTGGCCAAAATGTTCTGCCAACATGTTGTGGCATGTTGCAAACATGTTGTTGCCACGTTGCCAACATGTTAGCCACACGCGGCAGGGCTGAGACGCAGACCAAGGGTAGCACGAGCTGTGGAGGGGACGATAGCTACGCCTGTGATGGTCAATTGCGCACGCAAAATGCTCACATTACTGGCGTGGCTAGTTGTTCATACGCAATTTTTACTGCATCTTACCTGCGGTCGAGCATACTATGAGCGGGAAATCTAGATATCGTCCCCCTCAGTTGTTGCTTCTCTTAGTCTGCGTCCTTGACTTGCGGTACGTATGGCGTTTGCAACATGCAGCAACATGGTGGCGCTGAGGCTGACAGCCAAAATGTTCTGTCAACACGTTGTTGCATGTTGCAAACATGTTGTGGCACGTTGCTAACTTGTTAGCCATACGTACCGCAGGTCAGAGACACAGACCAAGGGTAGCAGCAAGTGCGGAAGGAACTATACTCGATTGTAGATACTGAGGCACTTTTACCTCGCTGCATGTGGTTCGAAATCAACGATACTTCATATTGGCTGAAACCCGACACATTCAATTGTTACATTGCTAGCTCTGCTTTCATGTTCCGATCTCATAAAAAAATTGTATGCGAGATTGTGAGCATCTAGAGGACTATTTCGGAATACTGTTCTGAAAATATTCAAAAAAACAGAAGATGATAGGGTTTGCAAATATGTAATCTGTTCATTCGATCACAGATTCTATTGTTTGCAGATTCTCGAGAAGGCGCCTGCGGTAGATGTAGTTCCTGCTTCGTCAGCTTCTACCTCCTCTGCTCCGACAACTTCTACTAATAGCGCTCAAGCGAACACCAATGATGCTAGCAGTTCGAGCGTTTCGACATCTCCGGTAGTTCTTCACTCTTTTTTCTATGACTCCTTTTGATTTTTTCCTTTTGATTTTTTTTCTAATTTCAATTATCATTCCAGAGGAAGAAACCACTTGCACCAATGACTGACACTTTATCTAGCATGATAGAGGAATTCAAGCGATGCACGAATAATCTTGCATTACCGGGACAAAAGAAGCGTTTACAAAATGTGCATGTCGATATGGTGATAGCGTAAGTTCGTTCATACGAAACCATCTTTTTACTCAATGGATGCATTTGCAGAATCGAAGAGCAGTGCCTAAAGGATGGTTATTCGGTTCACGAGAAAGCACGCGTAGCACATTCTTTAGCAGATTACTGTGGAATCCAGAAGAACTCTTTATATGCCCGGTGCATAAAGCGGAGAGATGTAAGTGCATTTGTAAGGTTTGTTGATTTTTTTTTTCACATCAAACATATGTATTATCTGCAGGAACATAAAAATGGGGCACCAAATTTGGCTTTTCTTGCAAAGTCAACTGGGGGAGGTTTTGGTGGATTTTCCCAGTTCAACAAGAGTGTTGCATCTGCTCCTGCTCTTGAGAATGTCAAATCCACACCAGCAACTTCAAATACGGATGCCGTCAAGCCAGTTTCCACTCCCGCTGCTTCTCCTGCTGTATCGACTTCTGCAAAGGCAACCACAGTAAGTAGAATTTTCGAAATCAATGACTCTTCAATGTCTCATACCTTTATTCAACGGAATTGGCGGCTGGAATGCGACAGTTCGCACCCGCGACGCAGTGTGCGTCTCTCTCGGGTGTTGCTCTGTGATCATTCCCTAGTCGATTAGGCCTCGAAGTCTCGACCTCCGGCCGCCAATCCCGTTTTGAAGATTACAACGTGGATAAGTATTTTGTGAAATTAGCTACGAACACCCCACTCGACTCTTACTATACATGGTTCATGTTTTTGTTGGAAGGTATTACATGTGGGCAGGCGGAACGAATCATTGAGCAGCCCAGAAGTTCTCTCGGGTTTGTCTTGAGCACGTCTGACAGTTAGAACTGGGCATGAGCAAAAGTGATTCAGATTAGTATCAGATGTAGATTTTGCTCACATAGAGCTTCTTTGCCGCTTTAGGCCCCGGACAGACTTCACGCGATTTGATCGTCGCGACTCAATCGCCGACATTTCCATTCATTTTCATTTCACATTCAAAAATTTCGGGCCGGAAAAGTATCACAACCGAAATGCAAGTTGATCGGCATGGAATGATGTTGTAACAGTTGTCTCGTCGCGATTCAGTCGCGACGACCAAATCGCGTGGAGTCTGTCCGGGGCCTTAGGAGCGCTTAGCTAATAGCGAAACACCGCAATGCTTTTCTTGCAGCTTCGCATAGGTGCAGAAAAAGTATACCCGGCTAAAAGATTTTATTTACAGTCTGATTCAAATCGGAGCAGGCGAAATATTTCAGTGGGGCCCGCGTCCGCATCGCGAGACTTCGCGTGCGCACAGCGCTGGCGTTTTGCCAAGCAATGATTGAGAGAATGAAGAGATGCAGGCTGGACTCTTAGCACGATATGTGATATACTGTAGCTGCAAAACGGCGCGAACCGTTGCGAAGCGCAACGGACGCGATCCTGCCAATTCAATTTGCCTTAAACTGGAGTGAAATTTACTGTAGTAGGAGCACCCACAAAACCTTGTACAGCCGTGGAGCAAACTGATCAAAATTTACCATTTGATTGCATCTTGAGCAAGTCTACTGCCGTAGAGTAGTTGAGGCAAGCGTTTCACCGCGCACGTGGACCGCTTTGCAATGACGGCCAGTCTGTGTGGTCGACGACCCGACTATAGCTTTGAGCTTTGCGAGTACTCATCGTAGTTCTGAACTCAAGATGTATAGTTGTACTCATCTCAGCAATCACTTTGCGCAAATGGGTCGCTATGAATTTTGCACTCAAATCAAGGCTTTGGCGCAAGTTTTACTTCGTATCTGAGAAAACATCGATGAAAAAGTGCTTTGTAAAAAACTCGCAAAAAATTTCTATATCACAGCTCTCCTGCGAGCAGAAATCGAAAGTAGTGCGGACATAAAGCGATCGGTCGGATGAAATTGGGTAGGAAACAGAGGGGCAGTGGCTGTCTCTTCGCACTTTATGAGTACCGTATGGGGTTTACTTGTCGGTGGAGTCGGCACCTAGTGACAGAACTTGTTTCTCTACCCAAGACGATCGTAGTCAGCTCTGTCTTATGCCCAGTATGCTTTAATCAATGACAAATAATTTAGTCCTCACGGCACGTTGACGGCACTGGTTGCTTCGTGTTTTAGATGTAATATAAAGACGTCACCTTATCCCATCATCAATTTAGACACTAGATGAGTTATACCAAGTACATCCCTCTTAACCCAGGTACAAACTCCTTCTACTTCTGCATCAACTGCGCCATCCGTCAGTGTCCATCCAAAGCCTGTTGTTGTTGCACAAACACCCGCTACAACTGCTGCTGCTTCAACAAGCGCACATCCACCCTCTACCGCTGCTCCAGCTGCCAAGGCGTCCTCGACGTGGACGAACCAGAAGAAATTGGTTCATTTTCTTCCCTTTTCTTTGCTTCAATGTCTTTTTGATCGTTTCCATTTTCAAAAGTTCTTTTTTAGGCTGCCCAATCGATGATTACCAACGTAGCAGGTTTGGCGTCCTTCAAAGGTCGTGTTGGTGAACTCCAAGAGATTCTCAGAAAAGTTGCCAATGAGACCATTACTTATGAGGATTTTGTGAAGTGGCATGATCTCAGGTAGTCAATCCTCGAATAATGTTTTTTTGCCAGACCATCGCTTTATAGCATGAAACCTGCCACTTCGAAACCTCATAGTGAGCAAAAACCAGTTGTGAATGGCGTGGTCAAGTCTAACAGTTCTGCCACCAGTGCTACAAAGTCGAGCACACATGTAAACAGTAGCGAGAAGGCACAGCCTTCCGCTTCGGCTCCTCCACCTGTAAGTTTACTTTGCTTTTGAAAGTTTTTACACTGTATCATCTTAAGATTCCACCTTAGGCCAAAGCCCCTACCAGTGCAACAGCGGTTCCTGTAAAGCGCACTACACTCGCTCAAGCAATGGCTGCAGCAAGTGTACCGAATCGTGCACGACCATTGTCACTCACGAGCGCACAAATAGCCGAAAGATTCGAGAGGGATAAACAGGAAACCATCAAGGGTATGTTCTGTGTTGTTTTTTTCCATGTATGCGGATGTCGGGATGGATACATTTATGCGAGGCTTCTAAGGCTCATGATTTATCATATAAGTGCGCGCTTTTAATACGTTTTCAATGTTTTCAATAGTTTTTGGAAAAACCATATTCTGTATTTGTGATTCGCGAAAATTTACTCTTTCAGCGATCTCGACTGCCATTGAAAATAGCAAGACTGCACACAAGAAGAAGTCTGACGCGTAAGTGCTAATGCTCTGTTGCTCAGTAAGTATGTGTCATGCTTTTAGAGCTGTTGCTGCTGGAAAAGGCGCTCCAAAGTACGAGTTTCTGTGGACTGAAAATCTCGCGTTAGTATAAATAAGCTATAATCGTTGTATTGATACCAACATTCTTTGTTCTAGAAGAGCGCTACGAACGCAGCTGGAGCTGTATTGGTCAGTCATATTGGGCTCTGACAGCTATGCTCATGCTACAGAAGCAATCATCACCATTTTCGCTAAAGAGATATATCCTCTTTTTCGTGGCGAAATCAAACTGAGGTTGGCGCTCCTTCGCGAGTGTATCATTGTAAAGCATTTGATAGACCCATTGCAGTCGTTTGATGGTTGAGTACACCAGAAGGAGTCCAGAAAGGGCGTTTTTGTTGGCAAGTTCAAGTATTCAGAGGCTTTTGAAAGATGATGGCATCGATTTGAACAAGTATGTCTGTTTGGTTCATCTTGTTCTTTATTTGTGGTTTTGATTGCGTCCCAATGAGAAAAATCTTTTTATCTCTTGCCTTATTGTTCTCTGCAAACTACTTGTTTCTTTGGCCTCTCTAGAATGATATCAGTTAGTGGCTCTGCTACTGGGGAGGTGGTATGAGGAGCTTAGTCTGATGAAATTCTTTCAACGAGTAGCATATGCATCGTACGTCGGTTAACATATCTCTCGTTTGGATCCGTAAAATGTCTTTTTTGAGGTGTCTGTATATGTCCGTCAAAAAATGTCTTTTTTTTTCGCAGATTTCTCCATCTAATCGAGAAATTATTGACAATCACCTATTATATCCTATCCAGCTCATCTCTTGCTCAAGAGTGCTAGCATATTATCTCCCACTGATTGTTGTCAATCATAAATGATGCATACAAAACACTTTATTTTAGCATCACGGTCGTCATCAAGAAGGATAAGGCTGACAATGACACTGTAAGGATTTCATTTGTCGCGCTATGCATTTTTTCTGCCTTTTCACTTTCCTCTATTTGTTATCAATTTCCTCATTTTTTCAGGACGGCTCCAAGGTAAAATCCTCTCGTTCATATACTACAGTTTTACCTGTTAGGTCGTCTTCCGACGACATCCAGGTAATTTCAACCAAAACTGCTCCAACGTCGTCGTCATGTGTGCTTCCGAAGAATCCGCTTTGCCAACGGAATCCTCACAAATAATTTCCGCTGTGACTTATCTCTTATTCAACTCGATACATTAGTACAAGCTTAAAATACAAGGTACTGCTCACGGTAGATTTCAAAGCGTTCAGTTATATTCCTCCAGGTATTCTTACAACCTCTCTCAACATTCTGTTGCCATCTTGATTGTTACATAACTCAGTGTGTTTTTCGAGCTCATTTGAAGATAACTTCCGGTGTTGCATCGTTTTATTCTGTCAAATTCTACTGTAGCATTTTCTTCAATCTAGTTCAAAGATTGTGAAAATCACCGACTTGTGGGCTTCAGAAAGCGTAATTTCTCGAGCGCTTCAACTTTCGCTCGCTTATACTTTCGGTGTTTGGTGATGGATGCATGGTGTGCTTAGTCCATTTTTGCTGTTTTAAGATTCGGCTATTCTGTAATTATCAGGTGAATAAAGCATGTCTCGCACCTGTTCACCTTTGCTTGTACAATTGTTGTAGGTAAGATTCTTACCTCTGAGTTGTTAACGCTGGCACTTTGGTGGGATTGGTCTGTTTTCTCATCCTTTGTCCTGATGTTTATCTCGTTATCCTACTAACATCTTCTTTTGGGTGCGCATTCAGTGTTTTGCTTATTCAAACAAGCTCGGTTAGTATATATGTTTTTAGGAATAGTTGAAAGTAACCTGAGCTAGATTTCTGCGCATTGATTCAGCTCCTTTTAGGGCTCAGCGTCTCACGATGATTCTGACGTAGTGGTCGTAGAGCCTAGTACATCCACTGCCAGCACATCAAATGGCGAAGTTGCTGCGGGTAAATCCTTTTTTCGAATTGTATCTTCGAAATCTGCTAATGGATACGTCTGAATAGGTCTTAGTTCGTGGATGTGCTTTTTAGAATGCTTGATTTTTTTCTATCCGTTAACTGCCTTTGAACTATGATTCTACAATGTTATTAGTCCTTTAGATACATAGGTGTCATTTTAATCGCGGTCTTCATAGCTTTTTGTTTCCGTATAGGTGGAAATTCCAGCGTCAACACCATCCACATCCTCAGCGCCTCTTCCCGCGTTCGCTGCGGCATCAGCGCTAGCTGCTTCTAATCAAGCTGTAGCTGCATTGAATGGAATGGGTCTGAATATGAGTCCTGCGCAGATCGCGGAGGTGATCGTCTTGTCATTAAAAATTTTTCCATTGTTAAAAGCACTTTTTGTGTTGTGAATAAGAAATTTCAGTCTTTCGAGATCCTGCTAACCATCCCTTCTAGTGCTACTTCAAATGTGTCTGCACAATATGATATTTTCAGATCACAGCAGCATTGCAGCAGCTGAGTTCGCTCACCACTGACCCTCAAAAATTGATGGTGTTACAGCAAACTTTGATGATGGTCAGTCAGCAGTGCAGGTTTTTCTTGACGTAATCCAAGCTTTACCATTCCAGCAAGTCCTGACGCACAACCAGCTGGAAGCTAAACGTAAACACGACGAAGAAAAAAAGAAAGAAGAAGAGAAGAAGGTGAGAAACATATTCACCTTTCAACCTGCGGATCCTAGTGTAAGCGTTCAGAAGAAGTTGGAAGAGGAGAAAGAAGCAAAAAGGCGTTTGAAGGAGGAGGAGAAACTGAAGCTCGTGCGTTCAGTCGTAAAATCATCGGAAATCTAATTTGCACCGCATGTTTATATGAAAACTATCTGCCATATCTTTAGATAGCACAAAAGAAAGCGCTTGCTCAATCTGCAAAAGAAAAAGCGATGGAAGAGAAGCGGTTACGATTAGAGGAGGAGAAGAAGCAGAAAGCAGCCGAAAAAGCACGAAAAGCTGAGGTGAGTTTATTAGCAGTAGTCTGGTGTCTACAAAACGTTAGTTGAATGCGTGTTTTATAGGAAGAGCGGGAAAGACGCCTACAAGAACAAGCGGAGAAGGAAAGGTTGTTGAGGGAAGAACGCGAAAGACAGGCTAGGGAGGTATGTATGGAACGCAATTTTTTTTAAATTCATAGAGGAGGAATCTGTTCCCATATTACTCAATGTTCTCTTCTTGGGGTGCTGTATGCAGTGAGGCCGGTACTTTATCTTTTCCAAGCCCTTGTCCCGAAAATCTCTCATCGAAAGCACGGTTCAGAGCATTTTTTTTGCTGATTCATTACCTATTTCGGAGGAACAGAATATCTTATTTAAACAAGAATTCATCATCAGCTTCAACGAATTGCTATTTCAGGAAGCTGAAAAGAAGAGAAAGGAGGAAGAGGAGCGAAAGCGTCTGGAAGAAATCCGTGTGAAAGTCGTAAGTTTCATTTTCATCGGTATGAATGGTCGGTAGCAATAAAAACAATCAAACAACATTTGTCAGTGGCTGTTCATGTATATGATACCGCTACGTAGTAATGCAAGTCTTAGAGGAGATGGATATTCTTTATTATGTCTTTTGCTGATGTAAGCCCACCGCCGCTGAGGAATGTTGCTTCCCGCATGTGCTTGTTATTTGATCATGAGAAATATGTTAACTTGAATGCTTGTGATGTGTCTAGCACACTTTTAGGAAGAAGAGAAGGCAAGAGAGCTGGAAAGACAGCGTCAAGCTCAGCTACGTGAGGTATCTCGAATTATCGTTTGTAGATGTAGTTTATGTTCAAGCATGTGTTGTCACAACACTGTCCTCGTGTTTTTTGGAAGTTTGCGTTTGAAATCTAGGAGGAAGCGAAAGCGGCGCAGTTACTTGAGGAAGAGATTCTGATGGAAGATCCCACTGAAGTCCCGCCTGAACGAAAACAGGAGCTTGAGGTGATTTAGCGCACATGGAATCTTGTTGTTTTTATTGTTGTGAGTCAGAATTTCTACAGAAGCGAAGCATGGTGTTTTTCCTTATTGTCCTAGCTTGTCGTCGGAGATATCACTGTGATACTTTGCATGCCTTTGCACGCGGAGACATTGGAGTCTCCTCCAAAGCGGTGGTGACAGGGCTAGCTATCATAATTAGTAGTTAAGTTGGTGGAGTGTGATGGAAGATCTTCTGTTGTGTATATCAGTTAACCTATCTCTAGATTTAGGTGGTGAGGGTTTTGACATACGTAGATGATGCAGAGATAGAACCTAGAAGTGATGGTTGTTTGAGCCTTTGTCCCCTTGAAATGTAAAGGTCACGATAGATATCTTCTACTCAGAGGAGTAGCTCGGGAAGTTGCAACCGCGAGCTGTTCATCCCTCCTTGGCCTTCTGAATGCACTGAGTCTAGAACTGTACTGATATTCTCTCGAACTTGTTAAAAGTGCTTTTTATGGTATCAAAAGAACGTAGCATCCAGGAGGAATGAAAGAACTTTGAATTTAAGCATTTGAATTATTCTTGCCCGGATAAGAAAGCTGGCTTGGGACATTTGAGTGAGTTGAGTATGTGTGAGATCATTCACAAGCTGACGCAAGCTTGGCCAAAACTATCTTTGCAACAAGCGAAAGAAAGCGTATCACAGTTTTGTCCTTTGGAAGTGCGGGGGTAAGGTCCTGGGCATACCTCACGCGACTTCAGTCGCGACGCAATTTGGCAATACTCCAATTGTTTATAAATCATCGTAAGAGGGCCGTGAATGTACTGAAGATAGGGTATTTTGTCGACCTACGGAGCTTGTACATGCTGTGCATTTGGAGCCTACCAGTACTAATTTGGACATCTAGCAAATTGCCACATTTGCGTGGCGACTAAAATCGCTTGAGGTATGCCGTGAGTTTAAGGGAGGTAGCGCCCAAAGAGCCAACATGGCTTTTTTTTATCTTTGCGCATTCTCAATTCGTCCAGAGCTCTATATGGATCTTCGTCAAATTTTGGTGGAAAAAAGTGGTAAACCTTCCAAATGCACAGTAGCCAGACCCGCCTTCCATTCATGCGCTAAATCCTAAGCGTGGCTTAAAGTTCAGACGCCCACTCAAAGGTCGGTGGGGCTGTTGAAAGAATATAGCAAACTTTTGAGATTTTGCGCATAGAGGTGGAGCTAGGACTATGGCAGTGACGTACCCAGGATTTCCGTTTGTGGGAGGGGGCGCGACAAAATTTTTTTGGATGAAGGTGCGTAGCATTAACCAGGCACTCCGAAAAAGTCTTCCGAAGCCTTCCTAAAATTTTTGCGGCAAAAAAAATTTTTTTAAAGGTTGATTTGAATTTCTGAAAGATTTCAAAAATTGTTCTAACTATAAGTGAAACAAATCGCTTGCACATTTCTATTAGACATGTAAGTAATTCCCCCCTCCCCCCCTCCTCCTCGGCACGCCACTGGGCTTTGGTATACTTGAAGGAAAGTTAGATTCTACACTACGTAATTTGACGCGTTTCCTCTCTGCCAAGACATTTCAGTGAGTGAAACCGTATGCATCTCTTGATCCTCATGCGCGCTTTCTTATGCGTAACACTTTTCATCGGAGAAAAGGCATTCTGAACAAAGACGAAAGTTTTATTCAAAGATTAGTGTTGCTTTTTGAGGAAGAGGAACTGGCGGAGTCGCTACGAATCAAGAAACAGGAAGAGCAACTGGCAGCGGTACGAGCAGCCAACCTAGCTGCTCAAGCTCAACAAGCGCAGGCAACACCAGTGTGCCCTCCAAATCCCATACAAGCTGTGACGAAATCGAATGCAATGGTTATGTCTCCCGAGCAGAAGCCTCTAGCGCCACAACCCTTGGAGCACAGGACAGTGGAGCAGAAGCCTCTAGCACCAAAAGTTCCAGGGCAGAAGTCTATTGAGCAGAAACCGCTAGCAACACCACCCAAATCTTTACGTAAGTTCTTTATCCAAGTCCAATCTGCAGTAGAGGATCTTCTCTCTTTTGTTCATTCATTTTCGGTTCGATTTTAAAAAATTGGTGCAAATTCGAAGTTCTTCTGATCACGTGCTTTGGTCTAACAGAATCACCATCTGGAACTTTCTCATGCCTTAAAACGCTATGTACTGGTACATATTGTGATCTTTCAGCGACTCCTCCAAATTCTTTTCCAATGCAGTCACAGTCTACCATCATACAAAGTCCAGCAGCTGCTATTCCGTCCAGCCCTCAATATCCGAATCCGAACAGCTACGGATTTCCTGTATGTGAATTTTTTTTGTAGACCGCAGCAAGTGTTAACCACCTTTTTATAGAGCAGTCATAGCAGTGGTAGCGCTATCATGATGTCGCCACAATGTATGACACCAATGACGCCACCGTCTCACAGAAGTCCAGCATTCCATCAACAGGTAAGCAACATGATGATCTTTTTGTACTCGATTTTTATTCATTTTTAACATCACCCATTCTGAGAGCTGATGTTCGTTGATTAATGAGCAATTTTTTTAAAGTTTATAATGGTGCCTCTAGGTAATCCAGTCCCCTCAGCAACATCAAGCGGTTCAATCCCCTTTGTCTGCAGGACCGCATCAACACCAAATGTAATCTTTTTTTCGAGAATCCTGAGGCGATAAGTTGTGAATCGCGAACTATTTCAGGGTAAGTCAAAGGCAACAATCCATGTCATCTATGACGTGTCCGCAGTCGAGTCAGCCGCTGCAACAGAATGTTGGCTACGATCTAGTAAGTATCATTCTTGCTTTTGCTAAGGTTTTGTATGAAGGAAATTTCTGTAATTAATTTCTCGTTCTGGGTTAACATTCTTTTGGATGTTTCGAGATCAGAAGTATAATCCAAAATTTTCAAGAATGTTAAGAAGTCGATTTATATAGTCTTTCAAGGTGATAATATCGGAACGATGTGGTGCGACGCTTATATGTATATAGAGTTGATAATGCACTATCGATTGGCTGGGTATCCGTTACTTGGTATTAGTATCAGATATCACAGAAATCCATGAAAAAAGAGATAAAATCATTTCTTGAGTTTTCGAAAACTTGTTGCGGTTCCGGGCATGACGTAATTGAGTGGTAAAAATTGTACAGAAGCCCAGGGTCGAAAATATGTGAATCCACTAGGGTCATGAATTTTGAGGAGTCTACTTTGGTGTTGAGATACATTTTATTTACAGTCGCCTCAGACGTTTGCTCAACCACAGCCGCATGCGACCCCTCCGCAGAACAGCTACTCCTATGGAATGCAACAGGCACAACAACGGCCGCTGCAACATCAGCAACAAGTCAATGTCTCACCATCCATGCAAAATCAATTGCAGCCGACTATGCAGCAAAGTCATACAATGCAGCCACAAACTATTCCGCAACCACAGGCTGTTCGTCAGCAAGTACAGTCGTCACAACCTATGACAATGCAACAGCCTGTTCATCAGCAACAAATGCAGCAACAGCAACCCGTGCAGCAAATGCAGCAGCCAACACCTCAAACGGTATGTGCACCATATCACTCACTAGCTGGCTTACCCGGCTCCGCCGTATCCGGACCAAACTTGGCACACATACACTTCGGGCCCCGGCGGGTGTCACAGTCCACTTTTCGTTATCGATCGATGTCGATTTTACCGATTTTTATCGATTTTTTGGCAGAGTTCACCTTCAGGGCTAGGAGTTGGCACAGGGGGGAAGTGAGCATGGGGATTCCGAATACAATATTAGTTTTCAGAATTATCGATTGCTTTTATTGATTTTATCGATTTTTTGGCAGAGTTCACCTACAGGGCTAGGAGTTGGCACAGGGGGGAAGTGAGCATGGGGATTCCGAATACAATATTAGTTTTCAGGATCGTCCATTACTTTTATCGATTTTATCGATCTTTTTGCAAAGTTTGACCTGCGGGGCTGGGAGTTTGCACAGAGGGTAATCGAGCATGCAGATTACGAATACAATATTAGTTTTCAAGATCGTCCATTACTTTTATCGATTTTATCGATTTTTTGAAAATTTGAGCTAGGGGGCTGGAATTTGGCACAGGGATGTTCGAGCATGCTGATCACCCCCCTTGGGGATGATCAGCATGCTCGATTACCCCCCTGTGCCAACTCCCAGCCCCCTAGCTCAAACTTTGCAAAAAAATCGATAAAATCGATAAAAGTAATCGATAATCCTGAAAACCAATATTGTATTCGGAATCCCCATGCTCGATTACCCCCCTGTGCGAACTCCCAGCCCCGTAGCTCAAACTTTGCAAAAAAATCGATAAAATCGATAAAAGTAATCGATAATCCTGAAAACCAATATTGTATTCGGAATCCCCATGCTCGATTACCCCCCTGTGCCAACTCCCAGCCCCGTAGCTCAAACTTTGCAAAAAAATCGATAAAATCGATAAAAGTAATCGATAATCCTGAAAACCAATATTGTATTCGGAATCCCCATGCTCGATTACCCCCCTGTGCCAACTCCCAGCCCCGTAGGTGAACTCAGCAAAAAAATCGATAAAAATCGATAAAATCGATATCGATCGATGACGAAAAGTAGCCTATGACACCCGCCGGGGCCCGTAGTGTATGTGTGCCAAGTTTGATCCGGATCGGTTCAGAAATGGAATTTTCTATTCGGAACATACGTACAGACATACAGACAGACATACAGACAGACAGACAGACAGACAAACAGACATTCAGCTTTATATATAAGATTAATCGCGCAAAAATTCGAAGCATTTTCATATAGTGGTAACTAATGCTGTAATAACCCTGAAGCAAAGCAAATCTTGGATTCTGACTCACCTACCATGTATTGGGTTGTTTCAAAAGTTCTACCCGTTTACGATACCTTTTTTTGAACTGCCGATTTTGGAGGAAGAAACCATTTTTCATAAATAGCGCTTATATCAATCAAAAGCTCCTTTCTTCTAGTTTTTCAGGCATATATTCGTTTTCGTAGATCTTTGTTCGCTGTGTGGTTGCGTACTTTGAAAAGAAGCGAAACAAATATGAAAATTTTCGTCTTTGCTCTATTGCCGTGAAATCTACAACCAAAAGAAAAAATTTCTTTTAAAACATACACAGTGTTTGCTGGGGACTTGTGCTACGAAACGCTCATCGGCATATGATTTCAGAAAAATTTTGAACCCACAAATTTTTAGCTCAAACATAATCTGTCTCTATGGACCCTTCAAGTCGCATAAAATTCATAAACATATTGCAATCGCGGAACTTTTACTCTATAGAGTAAGATTAGAGCTAAAACAACTGCTACTAGAAGAACGAAAAGATTTTCTGGTTTGTCAACGGCGAACAAAATCAAAAATGTCAAAAAATTGCATTTTTTGCCGACTCAGAAAGAGCAAAATAAGTGGATCCTTTCGGATTTTTCAGCACAAAATTTTTATGAAAGAGTTTGATGAAATCCAATGTTAGCGGTACTGCTCAGTCGACTATGGACTACACTGTGAGCAGTGCTTGTGCAACTCAGCTATATTCCAAATCAAGTTATGCTTTCGCAAAGTGAAGGTTTCTACAAGGAGACGTTCCTCGATTTTCGCCTATAAAATCTTGTCCACTATAACTGCAATAATTTCAAAGAATGCGCAGAATAGCTGAAGATCTGCAGATTGTAATACAGTTTATAGCAATTGCTAAGATTATTCCTGAGAAGAGTTACAGTGAATCAAAGTCAAAGTTCGAAAACGGGTAGAACTTTTGAAACAACCCAATACTTACCGTAACTCACAAAAGGCACCACCGCGCGAAACATGATAATTATAATCAGCGATAGTTAAATCCACAGTTTGGGTTTAATTAATATGGTACCTATTTGATGTCAAGAATAGAGAATATATCCTTCCACGCCTCCACTGTGTTAATTTTGTTCCCACGAGTAAGACATACCGAGTCCCAGTGACGTTTAACAAGGAGATGTAGATCGTTAAGATCTCTTCAGGGGAACCGATAACATATCTGCTTTTGAATTCACGGTTCTGTGAAAGAATCTAAGGACCAGTGGTTCAACTTTGACCGTGCAGTGGAATCGACTACGACTAATGATGCAACTTGATACGCTGATAGTGCAGATGGGACAGCAGTTGGCTTTCAGCTAAAGATATAGGTTACTCATAAAATCGTGACAATGGCGCGGCTGCGCGCGTCGCGTGCGCAGTTTTGACAATCGCATTTTCTTTACTTTCTTTTCCCTGCGAGGCATATTTTCTTTCATGTATATGTTAGCTGTTGGACACTTGAAGTGACTGAGCTGAGCGTTAAAGTGTTTGTAGGTGGCATGCTCTTGTAACGCTAGGGTGGGCGCAAGCAGTCGAATTCTTCATCACGATTTTCTGAATACCCTATGTCGGGTTCAAATTCTCGACGATACCCATAGCTTTTGCGTTTTTGGAAGCTTATCTTACTTAAAAAATTACTTCAAGTCAGCACCAGCAGTTCTCCTTACGACTGCGTTTCGATACACATTTCCGCTGCACTGATGATGCATAATCTCTCGTACTCTTCTGTAGAGAGGGCAAAGCATGTAGAAAAAGAGGTTCGTAGCTCCTTACGCAGGACCGCTCCGCAATTTTGGAAAACGGATGTGTTATTAGTGTCCCAAAAGGAACTTAATGATGTAAATCTCCTTGCTGAACGGGTATGCGGCTCGGTATCCTTCCCATATCAGTGAAACATCAAATTTGCGTTGTTGCAGTGAACGCAGCTTGAGCATTGTTTGCTCTAGTATCTTATATATATCGGAAATAGACAGTAGCCTTGCGCCATAATTGCTGTCAAGTTTCTTCTTCTTTCAGAGTGGACAGTTCCAATCAACAGCGGCGCAACGTCAACAGCAAGCAGTCGACCAGCAACATATGCTCATGCAGCAACAGCGAGAGAGGGAGATGTACTTGCTTCAGCAGCAGCAACAACAAATAGCAGCTCAGAGGCAACAACAACAGCAGCAACAACAACAGCAGCAGCTGCAGCTGCAGCAACAACAGCAGTTACAACGGCAGCAACAGCAACTGCAACAACAGCAGTTGCAGCAACAGTTCCAACAACAACAAAGGCAACAACAACAGCTGCAGCAGCAACTTCAGCAGCAACAACAAGTGCAACAGCAGCAGCATTTGCAACAGCAGCAACCTTTTGCAATGCAGCAGCAGCAACAGAATCAAGCGTTTCTTATGCAGCAACAGTTTCAGAATAATTCGGTTCGTTTTTCGGTGCAAATTTTTATTATACAAACTTTTTTACAGCTTATACTCGCTTGAAACTCGCAATCACATCCTCCTTTTATCAACGAGAATTGAAAATCCCCTTCAGATGTCTGGCAAACCACGCTTTCCAATTTAAATGGTCAATTTCAGCGTCAGCACCAAATGCAACAACAGATGATGGGTCAGTATCCGCATCAACAGCAGAATCCATTCGGGTATTAGGACTGGTTCGTCAAGCATCATAGCAGCTGAGCTGCTTTCAAGATAAAGCTTTAGCGGGAGCGGGCTTTCATAAGCGACATGTGATACCCATATCTATAGTAGATTGCATTAATTCACTCAGTGGTCGCTATATATGAACTAGTCCGGAATTCACTTAATATAAACGATATCTGTATAGCTCCGTTTTTTTCTTAGTGGTCAAATCGGTCAAATTGAGGTTTCTATATATTCACGTTTTCGCATGCAATAGTTCCAATGCTTTTGTCTTGAACGAGTATCTCTTTGTAATTCTTAGTTGGCCAAATGTAAATAGCCTTACCCTTTACCGCTCGACTCCAGGTCGGGTAATTCACTGGCTTTCTTACCATTGCGATCCTTACAACGTTATCCTTTCCAGTATCGTCTCAGTCTGGGATTAGTGATGATTGTTGTCCTTAGAGGTTCTAAATAAATTTTTTGGTCTCAGCGTCAGCTTATTTACGTTCTTACTTGATCATCTTGATGATCAAGTGAAAATGGAAAAGATGATCATCATCCCGATCATAGTAGGATCACCGTCTTGAAGATGATCATCTGATCATTTTTTCCTACTCTAAGCTTGCCCATCACACATCCCATTCATTCTATCCATTGTTTGTGATATTCATGATCACCCTAATAGTCCTCAAGGTCTGCCTTCATGTGTTACGATGTAAAGGCTGCTGCATGACGAAGGCGCAGGCAGTGTTAATTGAGCGGGCGCCAACGCTGCGCACGCATATCTTCACCGCTGTAAATCCCACGCAGGCGCTCTGAGGCTAATGAAACCGCGTTCGCGCTCAAAGATGCGAATTCGCCATGCAGCCCGTACTGCGAAGTCGAACACAATAGACCCCAACAGTCGTAAACTTTGAAGAATTTGTGCCAACGCTCAGGTTGTGCTGAGAGCTTGATGTGGTTGTTGTGTCTGCTCTTGTCTCGGTTGCGCAGGCAAACTTTTGAACGAAACAGGTAAGCTCGGAACCGGGTCTGTGTAGCGCCCGGAAAGGGGATGGCAAATGGCACATGTGAAACGAATCCGCCTCTGCCACTTTCGATTTTTAGGTTTTTCCACTTAGTGCCCAGCTGCGTGGGTTGTTCAATTTGAGAGCAGTGTTCTCCCTCAAAAAAGCGGCTTTTGTTGCATTTCTGACCTTAATTAAAAAGGAAAGAGATGTTTTGAAGCCAAAATCTCACTATTCGTTTAACGACCCTTGGGTGAAGATCAGATTTAGGTGAAAATCATAAAAGATCATTATGTTCTGCTTCCTCAGGATGGCATTAATCTGGAAGGATGAAAATCTAAATCAAGGCACACTTTTTTGTATAAGTTATTAGCCAAAGGATTCATTAGAGCATTAAACAAATTTTGCTTTTGATCTAGAAGAGCGAAGTGTGCTTAGGGTAATGAAAATTTGGTGAGCTGTTGATAGTTTGCATACAGCCAAATTGGCCAAGTCCTTTTAAGCTCGGTATAGAATCTATGATAAGTATCGTCCAAGGAGGTGTCATCTACAAACAAGGGTACCGGATCAAAGTATGAAAATAATCCTTTATTGCAAGATAATCAATTTTGAAAATTCAGGAGCAGGACACTCGTTTTAGCGGCATATCCACCTTTCACATGAAATTCACTAATGTTGTGATCAGAAGAAGCAAGAGGGAGGAGCATTTTGACACGCCTCATATTGTCTGTGTTAGAGAAAATCAAATTCAGAATATTACTACTATGAGTAAGTAGGTTCGAGCACATGCTGCTTGAACCCACAATCAAGAAAGGCCTCCATCAAGTTTTTTTGCATTTCGGTCTTTCGAAACTAAATTAATCCAGTTGACATGAAGGTTGAAATCTCCCAAAATAATCATATCTTTGGTCTGTGAGGAAATGAGCTCTAGTAAAACATTCTTGAGCTCGTCATCTTCATATCTTTTACAACTAAGTGGACGATATATCTTGATGAACCTCACACAACTACCATCTGAGGGGAAAGCAGGTCAACCAAAAGCAAATCAATGCCAGATATGGTGTGTTGATGCACTTTCGATAGATTACCCTTGATAATACAGCAAACACCCCTTCCTGTTTGCTTGGGTCTATCACTACGGTAGATCAGAAACGGTAAATTAGAGATTCATTCAGAATCGCTAACCTTTGAAGAGAGACAGGTTTTCAGTTATGAATAAAACATCAGGTTTGTACATGCAAAAAAAAACGAATGGAGGTGATCAATCTTGTTAAAGGCAGTGTTTCACCAAAATTTAGTTGCCGAGAAGATTTTTGCATTTTGCAAGCCTGTCGGACCCTCTATAGCAATGGACTTAAAATCGCACGAAGTTCCCAAAAACCCGTTTTCTGGAGGCCCCGCGGAAGCAACGTGGACGAGTTGTGCCTTCCAACTTTAGCCTCAGCCACAGTGGCAGCAACAGAGCGGAAGTGGGTGCCAATGGAGGGACATGTTCAAACGCGTAAGGGGGGAGACCGACGGAGTCGTCCTCGTGTACCAAATCGCTCTCCGATTACCACTTTGAGCAAATTTTTCTCAGGGTGGAGGGGTCAAATTGAGTGGGACTTGTTGCAATGGCCTATTTAGAGGTCTCTAGAATAGAATATGTGGAGATCCGCGCGACCTCAACTTTAGTGAGACACTGCCTTTAACTAGACTGCGAGAGTTCAAAAAATAACATGTCAAGTAATCGATAGTACCATGCTCATCCACTGGTTTACCGAAACTTGCCAGGTCAGATACGTGGGTGTATGCCAAGATGAACGATAGCTGGAAATAAGCATACTGTACCCGTGCGGTTGTCAATATGCCGCGCCTGAAGTCTTATTTTTTGAAGCGATATGTTCGTCACTGGGTTGAAAATGGTGTCCAACAGTAAGAATGAGGCGGTACCAAGCTCCCAGCGTTTTTCCCAAAATTTTGAATATCATCAGAGCGTAAATATAGAATCTAGAGAATATTTGACCTGCGCAACGCATATGGCTGGCACACCAGATACGTGAGTGAGTCGTCCTTTATAGATGACCCACTCACGTCTTGCTCAACCCCTGTTTTGCTCTCTCGCCTGTTGGCGCAGCTCATATTCCTTTCTCCGCTCCTCCTCGGTCTCACTTCTACGTATGTAGATGGATTAGAAGGCATTAGAAAGCGCTAGTCTCCAATAAAAGGGACGGTTCCCATTTGGTTTACCCACACGATACGCCTCGGATGCACAGCAATTAATGCCAAGGGACATCAACAATATCGTCCAGCTTTTTGTTCAAGTCAAGGGATCAGCTACACCACTCATGACAATGGTTCCCGAGCGTTTGTCAGTTTCAACAGTGCTCTGCACCTCTTGCTGAATTTTATCAGACAAAACGCAGAGCATCTGATCAATGACGGGATCTGAGTTCCTCTTCTTCATGGAGAGAAATAGTTCTTTGACGCTCATATGTGAGTAGTCAACTGCGGGTTAGTGAATTCTGTGTCGGATCAGTCGAACGACCCACAAGGGGCTGTGACTCAGCGCATTTTTTGCTAGCACGACTCGATTTTGCAGGCATCCTACTGATTTCCACAAAAAAAAGAGGCTGAAAAAAAAGTGATACAGGATGGTTCAAAAGTTGCCAGGAGAGTTAACAAATGATTCGTATCAAGGAAATGAGCAAGCGATACTAAGTCAGAAACAAGGTGAGCAAAAATCAGAACAATTACAAATGGTATACTAGAGAAATAAAAGGATCTAGAACGGAGGATATTAAGAGCAAAGATAGGAGCGACCGCACGATGTGGACACATGTGTCGAATAACTTGGAGATTTTGTGTTTCAATGGTCTCGTTCGATAAGCTGAGCAGTATGCAAGAAGAGCTGTCTTTCTATGTACAGTCCGTGTCAATTACGTGCTCCTTTTTCCGTAAATGCAGTGAGCTTTGCGTCACGTTCGCGCGCGTATGACTCGGGCATTCAAGTAGGCCTTATCGATTGGAGGTCTGCATGCAACACCCTTGCGTTGCGCATGCGTAGTTCCCATGCAAAAGGGAGTACGTAATTGACTTCGACTGTAGCAGAAGTTGCCCGATTTCTTAAGTTGATGACGCCACGGTTCGAAATGAAAATATGCTCTGTTTTTTCTGAATATTTTTTCACAAAGATCATGAAGGTACGCTTTAGGTACTCAGTTCTCTTGATGTCACCACTAAAACGTTTTCCCATCATGAATTGTAACATAAAAGGTCTATTCCAATTATTTATGAAACAACTTAATGTTAAGTTTTGCTTTCTCGTAGGCGTCATCTCATTGACTTCAGTTTATTTATTCAAAAACCGAATAATATTCGGAAATCGAATGATATTCGATGTTCGAGTATTAACGAAAGTCGCTTATTTGAAAACTCCATTTTCCGAATAATATTCGGTAGTCGAATATTCGAAATTGTCTATATTCGGATATTATTCGATAGTCGAATTCGAAACTCTTGATTTTTGAATATTACTCGATATTCAAATACTCGAAATTTTTTTTGAATATTCAAGGCATAGTGTACACTCCACTTCTCTCCTCATCCTTCTCGCAAAGGGTCGGCTATATACTTGGGTCCGAATCGAATAGAAGTTCGATCATTTGAATAAAACATTCGAATATATTAGGTTGGTGCAAAAATAATGAGCGTTTTTATTTTCTTGCTTTAACAAAGCAAGCAGACTCAACCCAACAAAGGGTAAGGGGTATTGTTCGATAGAGCAAAGCAAGCTCTACAACATGGCACTCATGCCTTTGCGCCATGCTCGATCCGGAGAGTACGAACTCAAAATCTAAAAATTTCCAAATGCCCAAAAAATCGAAAAAAATCAGATCTTCGTCCAAATAATTTTTATGGACCTCCCACTCGCTCACATCAATACTATCGATACCTGATATCCATATGTGCGATTGCCGTATTTTTTGCTTGACTAGAAACTGAGAAAACGAAAATTTCCCTGGTTTTCTCAAAGCAATGCTGAGCCGTTTTTGCATATGTAGTTCTATACTACAAGCCTAGGTAAGCATAACTGTAGATTTTCAGCCCATTCCAAGCGGTAGTTTTCGAAAAATAACGAATTCGGATTTATTCGTTTCAGTTTTACTGCTAAAATCGACATTTCTCGAAAAGTACCGCTCGAAATAGGCTGAAAAACTACAGTTGTGCTTACCTAGGCTTGTACTATAGAACTACATATGTGAAAACGGCTCAGCATTGCTTTGAGAAAATCAGGGAAATTTTCGTTTTCTCAGTTTCTAGTCAAGCAAAAAATACGGCAATCGCACATATGGATATCAGGTATCGATAGTATTGATGTGAGCGAGTGGGAGGTCCGTAGAAATTATTTGGACGAAGATCTGATTTTTTTCGATTTTTTGGGCATTTGGAAATTTTTAGATTTTGAGTTCGTACTCTCCGCAGATCGAGCATGGCGCAAAGGC